ATGTGTGTGTAGTAAAACACTTTTATTACATGTACATGGGACTAATATTATTGCAAGAGATCATTAGTTCACACTTAATCGTAACTAATCGTTCCACGAAGTCCAACTGTTATCTCAGAGTATGCACATGACTTGATTCTCAGTTTCACTTCTCTCATCATCTTTAAGTGATTACAGGAGTTAAAGGGAACCTTTCACCTGAAAAATAATTTGTGTATAGCTAGTACACATATGTATAATAAAACTCACCTCGTCCCCCTCCCCCCCCCCCCCTCCAAAAAAAAAAAATAATAATAATAATAATAATAATGATAATAATAAATAAATAAATAAAATAAAATAAAAATAAAAAATTTAAATGTTTTTTTTAAATAAATAAATAAATAACAATAATATTAATAACAATACAATATATATGTATATAATTTTAAAAGAAATTTAAAAAATGAATGAAAAGAAAGAAAGAAAACAAAAACAGTTCAACATTACATGGGTGATCAGTACAGGAGAATCAACAAAATAAATGAGAGAAAACAGCTGCACACAGTCTACTAACAAATCACTTTTACTTTCATTTTATAGAAAGTACATAAACTTGTAATTTCTCTTCATAGAATATTGTTAAGCTGATAGTTACCATCATAGAACCCAAATCATCATCAAGAGCAAACTTTTCATAATTTTAATGATGAAAGGTCTCCTTTAAGTTCTTGAGAAATTACATCTTTCCTGTTGACAAGAGTTGGATAGGGCCAGACAATTAAAGTAATAGAACTAATATGAAAGTTCAAAACCTCTCTTAACAGGGAAGTATGAATGGGAAAAATCAGGGGTTTCCCCTATGATTATGTAGTTGAGCCTTGAAGAACAAGGTTAAATCAAATTAGGCCACCTGTACCTAGATGGGAGGGCGTTGAAGGAGTAAGAATGCTAGATTCATATCTTGGTCTATTTTGGGGTTTTCTGAGTGGCAGTCTGGCAGATCCTTACAACATTGGATATCTTCAACCGAATATTGATGAAATATTTAATTCGAAAATGTGAAAATGTACGCCAGCTTCACTTCAAAGAGAGCTTATTATATTCACTATCCAAGTCCTTATTTAACAAATTTGCTTGATTCTATAAACATGAAAACCATTATTGGTTTATTCTTGCAAATTTGTCTCTAAAATTCTTTTTTTTTCCTCATAACAAAATAATTCATTCATCTTGTGAGTTTAAAAAAAATGTCAGATATCTGTTACAATGTGAATAACATTTGTTGTTGTGTAAATTGTGTGTGTAGTTAGAAAATGATTTCAAATGTGAACAGAATTTAAAATGTTCAAGACTACCCACTTAGGAATGTTCTCACTTCTCAGTGATGTTTCTCAGGCAAGTGTCTCTCTCCCAACTATTTGAATGCATGTATGCAGCTAGCTTTGCGCAGACATGAACACGAAACTTATCCAGGTTTACAGTTGTTCTCACCACTAACATACTTTCACTATTAAACAAAAAACACCAGTGTCCTGAACACTCACTAAGGAACTTCTTACTCATATTTCAAAGCCATCAAACATGATCATGTATTTCCTGTAAAATGAAAAAGAGTGGGGTTATGAACAGGGAACTAAACCAGAAAACCCAAGGCCAAAGAACCACGTTAGTGAAAGTTTGCGAAAGATCACACAAATATCAACATTGAAAATTTATCATTTTGTTTGTTTGAAGAAAACCAAATTAATTTACAAATCAGTCATATGACAGCGATGTTAAAGCACCATTCTCTACTACTCCACTTGTTTTGTACAAACCTAAAATATACCCTTATCAGCAATTGACAGAAAGTTATGCAATAATACAAGTCCATGATTATACTAAGTATTAAATGTTGAGAATGACATGACTTTAAGGTTAAAAATTTAACTTCAACTTTAAAGGCAAAAGTAATCTCTGATGATGTCAAGCTAGATAAAGTACACTGTTCCCATATTTGTTTTATTATTCAGATTCTGATCAATGGCACTTCCTTTCATTGGGTGTGTCAATGCTAAATTTGATACACTCTTCTTTTTTCATGTATTGAGCTTCAGTAAGGAGTTGGTATATGAGTGAAGTTGAGGGGTTGTATTCTGTAAACTATATCTTTTGTGTAAGTGGAAAGTAATATTAAAGACTCTGTCGAAATGAAAAATTAAATATATGATTTGTATATCAACTGTACGCTAATCAGCCATAGATTCCAATAATATCAATCATATGGTATTTTAGTGTCTGTCAGAGGAGTAACAGCTAAAATCTAACTATCGACTTGATGACAACATCTTACGGTATGTGGAATACGCATACCAGTATTCACAATGACTTTGCATTAATCAAGCACCGTTCATAGCCTCAGTTTCAATACTAAGCGAGCTGATCAGGGCCACATGTTATGTCTTCACCGTAACAGCAGAAAATTTGAACCCTGTTGACCTGTTATTTGGAGGGATGCAGAAAATGAGGTTTAAATTTGCTTTTGTGCAATCCTGAAAGGGGAAATATTTGTCATTCCTTTATATTTGTATTTTATGTTCATTCAGCTTTTTTTTTCTTCATCAGATAGGGTCTTTAAAGTTCATAATTAACTGAAATTTCCATGGAAAAAACACTGACACACATTTATTATTGGTTCTTGGGCAAGTGCTTCTCCCAACAACTTGCGTACATGTACATGTATGCAGCTAGCTTTGTGCAGACCTAACCACAAAGACTTATCCCAAATTAAAGTTGTTATGACAACTCACATACTTTCGCTAACACAAGGTGACATACTCTTCAGAATACTCTTCCGCATGCGCATGTAGCTAGCATTGAGCAGACATTACCACACGCCTGTCCCAAGCGACATACTTTCACCAACATAAGGTAAAATGCTTTTTCAGAATACCTAACCTCACCATACTTTCACTTACACAAGATAACATATTTTTCTGAATACCCACCCCCAAAGGCCCACAATAGCCCTCATTCCCCCTCCCCCGAGAAAGAAAGGGGGATATAATACAAACGATTCATGTATGGATAATCTCTTCCTGACCGAATCAGGCTTTTAGATTTGTCCTGTCCATAAACAGTCCAACATGCTTTAGTCACACCTGTATAGAAAGACCACATGTCTACAAAGACCACATTTTTTGTTTCCCTTGAAATAGTTTCTCATACATGTACTAAAGGAATCTGTACATAATGACCGCCTGCTTACAAAGACCACTTTTCTTGTCTCCCTTGGACGGTTTTTATAGACAGGTTTCACTGTACTTCATATTTTATGAGCTAAGTAGGAAACAAACATTGCTCTAATCTATTCAGGAAGATAAAATGTATGGATGCACTCTTTAAAAAAAAAGCACAGAGTGGCATGGTTTTGACTATGACCTTGTTGAACCAATGGTGAACCATTGCGTGACACATACTAAGACTCACACACAAATCTAGTGAAGAACTTAAAGTCACCTGTTAATCAGACCTTGGGAACTAAAATAGCACATGTCTAGTGATTCAACCCAAATCTAGTCTTTCTCACAACTCTGATTTATATTTCCCCATAAAACAACATACACTTTTCCTTAAGAATAACAATTTGTGACATTAATTGTATCGTCTTGATCCCATAAATGTTCTGTTAAACCATAAACTTTCATGCGCATGTATATACATGTAACTCCTGCAAATTTGGCAATGTTTGAGATTTGCCAAAGTTTCGTGCCAAGAAATAATTGATTAGCAACATGTCATTTTTGCCATTTTGAAACTTCCTTGCTGCAATAAAAGCGTTCCTTAACAATCAAAGCCCAAGTTCAACATCACAGAGTTACTGGTTTTTACGGTAAGAGCTAATTCTCTCATCATTGTTTAAAGGAAACAGGAATATAGGATTAAAGCTATTGGTACATTAAAAATTTAACTAAATGCATTTCATGGTCCACTTGATTATGTTCCTCATCTAACCATGGGTCGCAAGGAAAGTGTAATGTGACAACTGATACCATTCATGTACATGGATACAAAGAAGACTTAACATCTTTGTTTCTTTTCCATCTCTTAATGCCTAAAATATAGTAATTACAAGAACATTTGCTGAAGATTGGCATAAGCCAAGGCTTGTTCAGTTCCATACAGCTTTAAGTCATTATCATTTAAAGTATCTAAAGGAAAACAGGAAATGAGAATCCGGTTGATTAATTGAACATTTTGCTATTCAGCCAGCTGTAGAAGTTTTCAAATTTGTGTCACATAACCAAAGGAGAGGGTTCAAATGTGTTTGAAAGGAAGAAGCGTTGTTGGGTAGAAGTGTTGGGGGTCTAATGAATAATCACCCGACTATGGTCTATTAAAGTGATCTGAATTCTTGCTATGGCACTACCAGTATAGGGCAAGACATTGATCAATATTTACCACTCTTGACTATTAAAGGTGAAGTGGGAACCTGATAGGGAAAAATTCTTTAATGAATGATCATGTTAACAAGAAAGCTTGGCACCCATCCCCGAAGGGCAATCACCTCAGGTCAAGTACCTCAGTATAATTACCCCTTGAAAATAACCCCAATTAAAGGTACCCTCATAAAACTTCCTAGGGGCTATGAAATTAGGCAGTAGGTGTCAAGGGTGTTGGTTTATTGTCGGAAGGATGGATAACTAGGGGTTATTGTAGCTAGCTAGCTGTGCTGGCAACAACAACCCCATGCAAAGAACTGCTTTGCAACCCATATTTATATCGGCAGTTCGGATTGATTCAGGATGAGCTAGAATATGATTGGTAAAACTTAAATACTTAAGAGTTTGAAGATGGATAAATTTTAGTGGTGTGCAAAACTTCAATTTCTTGTCGGGATTTAGTGTGACCGACCAAACCGACCTTTGCCTAAAAGGGACCTGTACACAAAAACCACCTGCCTATAAAGACCATTTTTCTTGTCTGCCCTGTGTGGTCTTTATAAGCAGGTTTGTTACTATTATAATGGTTTGACTTACCCCATGATCTTCTCCTCCAGTGTACCTCTGGTGATGAGACGATAGACGTTCACAACCTTCTTCTGCCCTATCCTGTGAGCTCTGTCCATGGCCTGTGGAGATTGAGCGGAAAGAATGTTCCTCATCACTGATATCATGACCATAGCTTTCATCATCACCAACACCACTATCATAGTTACTACTATCCTCATCATCCCCAACATACATATCTTTACTTTTATCATCATCACCATCACCATCATCATCATCATCATCATCATCATCATCATCATCATCATCATCATCATCATCATCATCATCATCACCATCATCATCATCATCATCATCATCATCATAATCATCATCATCATTAACACCATCATCATTACTTTCATCATCGTCATCATCATCATCATCACAATCTTTTTTATCACCATCATCATCACGATTATTACCTTTCTTGTTGTAATTGATCTTTATTAAAAATTACTTCTTCATAGCCTTCATCTTTTATTGCATCAAAATCCTATCATCACCTTCATCAGAGAGAACCGGGCCCTGTTTCATAAAACTTGTTATCAATAACGATCAGCTCTCATCCAATCAGATGCCATGATTTCAGTAGCTTATATCAGGGTTTTTTTAAACTATTGATAACAAGTTGGATGAAACAGGACCCTGATCATTTTTATCACATCATCTTTGATATTTTGATTTATATTATTTCATGGTACATGGATACAGAGGGGATTACTTGCTAATGATTAGATGCTTGGGTATGCAGTTCACCATAACACCCTTCTTCCATAAGATTTAGGTATTTCTGGTTATTATCCCCTCAGGAGTCAAAAGCATCAGATGACTTGGAAGCAAAAGGCTCATCGAAATATGAAAGAAACCATGATCGATTTATCAAAATCTTGATAGTAGTCCTTACCTGTAAGTCCTTGGTGGGATTCCAGTCGTGTTCTACAAAGATGACCGTGTCTGCCCCGGTCAAGTTCAGCCCCAGACCACCAACGTGAGTGGTCAATAGAAGAATGTCAATGGATGGATCATTGTTGAATCTGGAACAAAACAAAACGAATCTTGAATAATATAACTTTTCAAACCCAATGTAACAGTACTATTAAAGATCAACATAGATATGATATGAGAAGGGAGACGGCTGTCAGATTGTAGTAGTAACAAACTTTATAACTAAACATCTGAGCCCGTCGCACAAAAATTACCATTGATGGTAACTTTGCCATCAATGGTAACTACCATGGAAACCTTGATTTTGATTGGCTGTTGAGCCCTGTTACCATGGTAGTTGCCATTGATGGAAAAGTTACCATCAATGGTAAGTTTTATGCAACGGGCCCACCTATTTTCCATATCATTACATTTGTTCACATAAAGACGCTCTGACTTTGACCACTCATTGGGGGGAAAATATGGGTTTAAATATGCCCCTTAAATAAATAAAAAAAAAAACAAACAATTTTTTTTTAAACACAAACAATTAAAAGAACATACAAACAAATCAAAAAACATACAAACAAATAAAAAATACATACAAACAAATAACAATACATACAAATAAATACAAACAAATACAAACAAAAACATTTAAAAAACTATTTGAAAAAAATACAAACAAACAAACAAAAACACTAACCTGTGAACGAGGTCATGCCTCTGGCCAGCAGGCACACTGCCATCTAGTCTCAGGTAGGCTACAGATGGCATCTGAGATCTGGAAGATATTAATATTGAATATGACATCATCTCAAATGATAACAAACTGAGACAATCCTGATGGACGAAGGTTGGTCTCATTCATACAACTACATGATGAAACAAGAGTTTTCCTATCACAAAATATAGCAGCATTCCATCAAGTAAATGGATCAAAAGTTCTTCTGAGACAGATCACACAGATTTTAAGCTACCTAACTGGCATGTTAATGAGATCATTGTATGCTTTTAAAATACTCAATCATCTGGCACCTGAATATCTTAATGACACCCTCCAAATATATACGCCAACTCTTAATCTTCGTTCAGCAACCGACACATGTAAACTTAACATTCCCAAATCTAGACTCTCAGCAGCTGAAAAACACTTTGCAGTAGCTGCATCAAAGACTTGGAACAGCATCCCTCTTTCCATAAGGGAAATTACCTGTCTTGCCACCTTCAAAAGATCCCTCAAAACTCACCTTTTCCCCCAATGATCTATGTGATATACTTCCTATACTGTACATTTTTGTCCTCTTTTCATATATTTGTATTTGTAAGCGCTATGGTACTTATTGTTTTTAGCGCTCCTAAATATTCGATATTATTTTTAGTAAATCTGATACTAATAAAGAAACATAGTCCTGAAGTTGATCATTGACAGATTAAGAATTTAGATTGAAATCACCTTACAAAACAATCAATATGAAGTCATGCAAACCAATACTACAGTGTACATGTGCATTTGATTAGGTAAACTTTCAAATACATTTACATCAACAACAAGGCAACAAAATAATGTTAACCTGAGGAGGTCTTTCTCCACGATGTCCAGCATTCCCTTGAGTTGACAGAAGAGCAGTACACGATGCTGACTGACCACAGACTGGGTCAACTCAGAACCTGGACTAGACCCTAGAGCATCCACACCAATACCACAGTCCAATAACAGTTGTCTAGTTAGTAACAAAAATGATATATAAACATTTAATTAAAGTTACAGAGCACTCTATATACAGGACAAATTGGCTGTTTTTATATAAGTTTTAATATATATATATTTTTTTGTTAAATTTTATTTATTTATTCACGGTAAAACTCACATCAGCCTAAAAAGACTATAGAATATATGTTATCATTAGAAAAGAATATCAAGACGATAAGAAAATATTGTAATCAACTTTGCCAAGTTTTTGTGTCAATGATGCTTCTTTTAGAAAGGAAAAGAAAGAGACATGAGACAAAATGAGATAGAGAGCAAAGTGAGGCTCTAAAATAAGTAAATGAAACAAAATGTGGGAGTGAAAGAGGGAAAGAGAGGGGGGGAGAGGAGAGAGAGAGAGAGAGAGAGAGAGAGGAAAGACATAGGGAAAGAAAGAGGGAGAGAGAGAGAGAGAGAGAAGCAGAGAAAACAAGTCAACTAAACAAAATGGAGATAGGTAAGATGCGACGGGAAAAGGAAGATAGTGTGAGAGAGGAGCCCCCCCCCCTCTTCCCCTGAACAGTAAACAACACACACAATATAAAAACTGACGAATGCATAATTTTTTACTATACAACTTACTTGAGAGCAATGAGTTTTGGAGCATGGTTGATGTCATGGAGGGATGATTTCTGTACTTTCAGTTGCTTAGTAACCGTCTCATACTGGGGATGCTTGTTGTTCAGGACGAGTAACGGATGGTTGCAGACCTTACGTAGATACTGCAAAGCCTGGAGAGGAAAATAAATTAATGATAATATTAATATTGGTTACTTATATAACGCACATATCCACCAAAAATGGTGCTCAAGGCGCTCCAACTATTACCCTGGGTCTGCTAGGCAGCCAATTTCGGTGTTCACAGCATTCAAGGAATTCCTTCTTACCGGTACCCATTTTACACCTGGGTGGAGAGTTGCAAATGTAGATGAATATCTTGCCAAAGGACAATAGTGCTGTGGCAGGACTTGAACCACAGACCCTGTGATCCACAGTCCAACGACTCATCCACTAGACCACAACACATCTATAAAGCATAACAAAGATGCAACAGGGACTACAATCTTTAGATTTGGAAACAGTGATAAAATATATTTACAATATATTCCAACTTTAATAATCCTGCAAACTACCTTCCCCCATTTCCTTTCATCCCATTCTTGTCCCCTTTTCAACAATTGATAAATATAATCATGCATTTAATTGTGACACCTTCAAAGCCATCAGTAGATGACCAGAAAGACATTCTAAGCTGTTCATATTTTCTTCAAGGCGGAATTACGACTCAATGACAAGTGAAAGATAAAACTGATCCCAAATAGAAATCTTTAATCAAAAATTTTAAAAATCACTTAATTCTTTTAATCTCTGTCATGTTTTAGATGCAATAGATTTCATGTTAAACTCCCTTATTTTTTAAATAATAATTTTACTAAATGCAAAAGATAATTTTTTTTACAGCATTAATTGTCTTATTATCCTTTTGAACCTTAATGTTAATGTCAAAAAACCAATAGTCTTTTTCAAGACTACACCAACAGTCCTTTTCAGGACTACACACCCTACAGAAAGATTACCGAGAGTCCTTTTCAGGACTGCTCAATCCTCCCTCTCTCTCACATGGTGCACCCGCAAGCCTACTGTATATCAAAGAACCTGTTCGACAACTATAACAAACCTGGAATATATGTCCCGTGGCAGCAGCAGGTGCTTTAGGTTTCTGATCCTCAGCCTCAGAGGAGATGGTCTCCACCACTCCCATCTTAGCCCTAGACTTGGCAAAGTCCTCATAAAGTTGAACCTGCAAGATATAACCATAAAACAAAACTCAGAGGGACATGAAAAGATCACATTTAGGTCTTGTGTACCATTCGCTGCCCTCTCAGACATAAATGGTGCAAAATGACCTTAAAACACAACCATAACAAAAATTGATTATCAATGAATATGATAATTTTCTAGATTTATATGGAATTCAAACGATCAGAGAGAGACAGAAGAAATGGCTTGGACACAAAATGCGGCATGATGATGGCTTGATGATCAGAGTCATAGAAGGTCGTCTACAATGTACATGGAAAGAAGAAGGGGGTAAGACCTCGTACAGGCTTTCTAGATGATTTTATCGCAGAATGTGGAGCAACAGGATATTAAATGCTAAACGGATGGCTCAAGACCGAGGTACTTGGTGAGACACGTGATGTAGAATTATGTTTGGGTCACTGAACCTGTCATGAATTGACAGATCACTATAGATGATGAATAAAATTCATATACTAGATGTCTCTGGAAGCTCTACAGATATTATACCCTGGAGATTGTCAACTCTGATATCTCTTAAAGAGAAGAATGAGGTTAATTTTTGACAGGGTTAAAAGAAAATACTAGGTAAAAATATTAATAATCATGGCCCCTAAGTGTACTCACTGATCTAGGTCAAATAAAATAGATAAATTTTACACATCCAACAAATATCTTGCATATTTGATCTATTTGTTTCTTTCTAAGTACAATGCAATCTCCCTAAAAGAATATCAAGGATGGTCTCAAATTCTTAATGAATTCTTCTGGAAACATCAGACTCTCTCTTTCATATGTTGAGAGTTAATTACCTGTAGTGGACTGAGCTCACAGTAATAATCCTGAATGATCTTAGGTGGAAGGTCGTCAAGAACATCTTCTTTGAGCCTCCTCAGGAGAAACGGTAGAACCTGACGGTGAAGAGCTTCCATGGCCAGCGCTCCTGTGTTTGGAAACATTATTCAAAGATGTGTCAATTAACTGCAAATGGATCACAACTCTACTATTTATAAAAATATGCTACAATTATAATACAATCCTTAAAATCAACTGTTTCTCTGTCCCAAAGAAAGCTGGTACCATAAAATCAAAAGGGACCACACGCATCCCTTCCATCAATGCCCCTGAAACTACCATTGAAACTACCTTCCTTAAATTACCCCTGTATCACCTTAATGTGGTTAGATGAGCAAGTGTGCGCTTGTAAAAATGACGCCTGGCTGGAATGATCCCCAGGAAGTGGAGAATGTACATACATCATGTGCGGGTAGGCCTGAATCCGATGACCGGGTCAATAATATATATCTGTAAAGCGCATTGAGAGGGTCCCAAAATGCGCTATGCAGCTGGCACAAAATCAAAACAATGACCACAACCACCACCCTTCGATCTACCCTTCTCCTTCCCCAAATCTATGCCCCAGACAACAACATCATCATCAACCTCGTAACTGACCTGCTTCTTGTTCTTTGGAAGAGCTCTTAGCATCTCTACTTTGCAGGATGGGTTTAGCAAACCTGGCAATGAACTGCTTCTCCGTTCCAAGGAAACCAGGCAGCAGAAAATCAAAGAGGGACCACAGCTCCAGCACATTGTTCTGCACAACATCAAAAAGGTAGGAAAAGGAAAATGGTGACGGTTAAGAAAGCTGTCACATGTGCCAATTCTATAGCATTTTTTCATGTTGAGAGTAAACTACAAACTGTAAGGCAACATCAGGGGTGAGGTACCATGCAACAGCAAAGACATGTACTGAAAACACGTGTGCACGTCTTACTGGCAACCTCCTGAATTTTGAACTGACATTTAACACATATTCAATCCTTAATATTTGATATCTTCTTTTGTGGAATATATATCTACAAGTCTTCAATAATGAGCGTCGCTACTCGGCAAAAAAGGAAGGATTCTGGTGGTGAAAAGCTGCATTCTGAGATACTTTTAATTATCTCGAGGCTGGAGAAGCCGTGTTGTCCGAGCTACGTAATCACTGTCTTGTACACAGTAGGCGGCAGCAGCTACGTCAACATATCCTCTCGCAACAGCTCCGGTGTGCTCGTAGTGCAGATCTGCCGCTATGGCTTGATCGGCTGCACCGCTGCGAGCTGATTATAGTAGCTGCGCTCCTGGCTGAAGAGTTCGAGGAGGCCGTAGCAAGAAGACCCCACCAGACATGCTGGTTACAAAGTCGCGTACTGCTTGAACAATATGGGAAGACCATCTTACAATTGATAAACGATCTAAACGGACTTACATCAACATTATTGTTATTGTATTTGCTTGATTTTGTAGTTATATTTAAGTTTGTAATTTAGTATTTTCTGTGTTGTGATTTTACTTAATTAATATAGTAGATATTTTTTTTCTTCCTAAGGATGGTTAGGAAATTTCCATGTGTTTTATGTTGTAAGTCGGTAATGGTAAATCAGAAAGATCTCCAATGTACAAAGTGTAAAAAATGGGTACACAAATTGTGTTGTGGTGTGTCAAATGAAGGGTATGATAAAATGTTAGAACAGTTTTTTAGATGGGAGTGCCAATAATGTACAATGGAACAGTTGCCTAAGACTCTAGTGGTAGCACATAAGAAGAAGAATGCCCTTTCAAAGAATGCATTCTTGGGAAACGCAACACAGAGGACAGGAAAGCGTTTGATGCAATTAAAGCAGTCAGCCATCTAAAGCAACTAGAAGAAGAAAAAAAACAAGAAGGAAAATCGGCAAGCTTCCAAGAGAAGCAGATTAATGACAAGTTTTGGTCTTTTGCAAAGAGAGCCGCAGAGGGAAATTATCAACAGATCCGGCACGTCCCTCTTTCTCAGCAGAGTATGCCAATCAGTATTATCCCAAAAAATATTCCAGCAGCACGCCACTTGATGTTACAAAGCTAAATTGGTTCTCATTCATACCGACCGACAGGCCTACCCTGTTTGATCTGCTTCATAGTGGGGGGGGGGGGGGGGGGGGGGGGGGGGGGGTGATGCCTTCCCACTGTGCGAGTGGCTCCAGAAACCTTATGCTGTGAGGAACCTGACCAATGACCAAAGGATCTTCAATTACAGACTGTCACTGGCCCCAAAGCAACATGCACATCATAATTCAATATTTTGCATTTTCACTGTTTGTGTCTAAGAACTTCAGATAATCAGTGCACATTACTATTTATACGTTTCACAGGGCCAGGAGCTCAGACAGTACCTTATGCACTATGTAACTGGCGAATACATGATCCAACCTTACCTGTATTGGTGTGCCAGACAGGATGAGTCTATGACACGCATTGAGCTGCTTGATGGCCTTGGCTAGTTTGGTCCGACCATTCTTGATTATATGACCCTCATCAAGGATACAATAGTTCCAGTCTATCGTCCTACAAAGACACATGGCGGGGGAAGAAAAGTGGTGCTCATTTTCATTTCTCTACCTATTCAACTTGCATCTCAATGTAGAACATGTACTACATGGAATTAAAGTCCTTGGGTGTTCAGATCTAGACTTATTATCAAAATTGAAGACTTGGATATCGAAAATCGAATTGAAACATCAAAACATAGATCTCAAATTGTAATTTATCTGAAGACCTCGTTTCATGCAAACTGCCTTTAGAAAGTTGTATAACGTAGAATTAATCTTCTAATGACCTTAATTGTTCTCAATAGTCCCCTGAAGATTTATTGCATATTTAATTAGACAACGCCAAAATAAATTTAAATTTCATAAATTTCATTCAAAGTTTTGCTGTGACTGGTTGAATTAGAACCTAACCAGTCTGGCACAGTTTTATCATTTTTTGGGTGACTTTTACGTGTTTAGCCTCTGTACATCATTACCTGAAGAAGTCAATATCATTCCTGACGATATCATAGGAGACAATAACAAGATTATGCTTCTTTACTTTGCTCCTCAACCTGGAAGAATGCAAGATAAAAATGAAGAGAGAGGAAAAGAGAGAGATAAAAAGACCAAGACGGTAGACAGAGTTAGAGACAGAAAGAAAGACAGACAGAGGTACAGAGAGAGACAGAGAGAGGCAAAAAGAATGAGTGTACAATAATTTGCAATTAATTTTAATATTAATTTTGCATTTGAATACTTAACTGAAACAAATTATTTTAACAATGAAGGTAGTTAACTCTTTATCAGCTATGGGTAAAAACGATAAACTGCCACATCGTTAGAGTATATGGAACATGAAATACAGTTACGTGTTTCAGAGGTTGACAGCGGCAATCCAGTGCTTGTTCCATGAGTCAACCAAAGCCGGGAAAGACTATTTACTTCTTCTTCCTCATACATGTACCTCTTTGTTCCTTCATCAATTTTTACTATTGGATTCTTTTACCCCCTCTTAAAATATTTCAAATATAATTCAATAATCTGATTAATAACTTACAGAGTAAACATAGATGTAAAGAAAAAATGGACATAGTTTATCTCTTTGATGAACTATCAAATAGCAAAATTTGTTGGCTACATAGTTATACTGCAAAATCTATATCACAAAGATCTCACCTTGTACGTTCGGTTGGAGGACCTGTGTAGTGCAACGGATTCAGATACTGACTTGAGCAGAACTTCTGTACCTCATAGACCCAGTGACCTGTCAGCGTCGGAGGACACACAACTATAGAGGGCATGGGTAAGCTATCAGCGCTCTTGGTCTTCTTGTAGGCGGTGCCTCGGTTGCAGTGGTCTCCAGCCATGATGCAGATGGACTGGAGGGTCTTACCCAGACCCATGTCGTCGCACAGGATGCCGTGTAGCTTGTACTTGTTGAGAAATGCCAACCAATTAACACCATCCTAAAAAATAGAAGATATGAATGTGAGAGTAAAAGGGTACAATTTGTTTACTTTGTTGAATAATTTAATAAAAAATTACTAGTTTAACAAGAAATAAACTTCAAGGGGGCAAGAAAAGAAAAGAAAGAGAACAAGCATGATAGGGAAAGAAAAGAAAAAAAGAGAGAGAAACGGACAGTAACAGTTGATTTAAAAGTTTGGGAGGGGGTATGGTGAAGGAGGGGTAAGATTGAGGGGAGAGAATACAATTCATACAAGAATGTATCACTTTGTCATACCAAAAGTCACACTACGTTTTTGTCAATGAAAGTTCAGACTGCAAATGTCAAGGTACATGAGGCCTCTTCCAAACTCGCTAGGGCCCCAGGTTAAAATGTAAAGGCTCATGTGTACTGGGTACCTGTTAGTATGGAGCCTTGTCCAAGGAGAAACAAACTCATCAAGAAATACTCCACTTTCAAAGAAAAGGGTTGATGAACTTACTTGTTGGTACTTCCTGAGTTCAGCCTTGATAGGAACAGGAACCTTGAATGGGTCTATTTTGGATCCATCCAAGAGCTGTTCCAAGAAACAACGTTCCCTGTTTTTCTGCTCAATGAGGGCTTCCGTCATGGCGGGTGGATCAGGAATACCAGCCTACTCAATCAATCAAAGGCAAAGTGGAACATTCGTTACATAATTCAGCATTGTGTTATAATAGTAAATATTTAATATCTAGGGTTGCTAACAAAATAATAAAATATAGAAACAAAATTACATATACTAAAAATTAAGTAGATCACATTAGATTACTTGGGGGAAAAAACTATGTTGTGAGGAAAAAAGCAATCCCTACCCAAAACGGCTTTCATTCCTGAGAACCAAACCTTCAGAACAATTAATTATGGAGAACTGAAGTGATCATTGGTACTTTAAAATTACAAAAATAGCAACGAAAGCAGACATACTAATGCTTTTCATCTTGCCTTCCTCAAAGTAAATCGCAGGAATGAACTGAAGAAGTCGTTTTAACATGCAAAATGTATACAAGCCCTGATAACAGCTTTTGTTACTTCTAGCATCATGGCTGTTGCTAATTTCCTACAAAAACCATGTGGTAATTTGTAGTTTTTGTTAATGTTTGAACCAATAGATTTGTTTTGGCCAAACACTATCCCTATTCATTACCACCAGTGAAAGCTGTCTCACCTCTAGGGGCATGAGCCTGATCAGGGTGGCAAAGCACTGAGTAGCGGTCAGTCTGATGCTGTCCACTTGGTCACTCATCCTGCCTAATAAGGGTACGACCAGGAGGACAATGTAGGGCACGATGTGCATGCCCAGCTGCTCAATGACGCCTGTTAAGATCAAAGCTAAGGATTTATCACCAATAATAAGACTATCAAAAATTAACATATTTGAAGAGAAATAGAAAAAAATGAGGGCTTCAGTCATGGCAGGAATACCAGCCTACTCAATCAAATGGAAAATTGGAACATTGATGACATAATTCAGCATTGTGCTCAATGACACCTGTTTAGATCAAAACTAAGGATTGTAATACGGATAGAGTGAACAAGCTAATAACAAGATTGACAAGGTAAAACAATACATGTACCTTCTCTACTAAACAACAATGTTTCTGTGGTTTAAAACTTAACAAAGTATGAAAGTCACTAGTCGTACCATTATACATAATATCACACCAGTGACCGCAATATTTGAAAATCATGAGAAGTAGAGATTCCCTATTTTGGAAGGTTCTATTTAATACTATATTCACAAATCAAGGCATACTGTATCTTACATTGAAACTGGATAGTTTAGTTCAAAAGCTGTTAACTGTCTGAAGCAGTACTGAAAATAAAAATAAAACTACCGGTATTGGCTTTATCCTGGGCTTGACACCAACAGGCAGGCATGCAGGACATATGGGCGCCCAAAATCTAATTCCGGACCCCAAGATTTGGAATTTTTTACATAGGGCTCATGCGTACAGACTATTCAAAGTTTAATCCAGACCCCCTTCCAGAAAGGTTAGCGTTGAGCCCTGCTTTATTGAAGGATACATGCCAAAGCCTCCACCGCTCCCTCTCGCTTGACCTCATCCTCCTGCGCTCCTAGCATGGGGATGACCTCCATCAGGAGACGGTTCATGGTTGCCGTGGTGATGACCTTGCACATGGTTCCCAGGCAGCGGGATGACATGTGTCGTACCGATGTGTAGGGGTGCTCCAGGCACGTGATGAAATGGGGAAGGAGTTCCTCCAACTGCACGGAATTCATAGGCACAACTGCATCGGTTAACATAGCAGCTTCTGGGAAAGTCTTTTGTATGTCAACTTTACATTGATTATTTTTTGGTGATTCAAAACCAAGCTATTCAAGATATTCAAGATATGTATGAATTATATTCATTATCTTGTACATGTATCCTCTATATTACAAAGAAATGAATAGACATGTAATTAGGAGGGATAAATGAATATCAAACAACAAAAAGTAGAATAGAATTATACATTTCTCACTAAGATTCAAGTTTTGTTCTCTAATCTCTTAAAAAATGTTTAAAGATGACCTGTATCAAAACATTTTAAGTGATCTTATAATTGCATAATATCTGCTCTTTGATAAGAGCCAAAGCTCACATCATATGAGATAACACCTTCATTTCATTTATTTCATTCTCCATGAAAAAACAATATATATACAAACATGATATGCATGATATACAGATAAAGGATCGATTACAAGAAAAATACAAAGGGAAGGAGCAAACAAAATATTTTATGGGAATGTGGGGTTAACAAAAAGGGCAATTGGCCTTATGAACATCATACCTTCCTGGCTCTCATTCCATTACATTAATTCCATGTTTTCATCCAAATTTTGCATGCCTTATTGGTACTACAAACTGGATTGACTGGTAGAAGAATAAGACTTCTTTATACCAACCTTAGGATGATAACAGGAATGTAATACAGGAGCCAGAGATTCAAAGACTTGCATAGTGCTAACAAGCTCCTGGGCCTGATGGTCCTTGTCTAGGAAAGATGCCTGATCTGAATATGCAACAAAAACAAACAATAACAAAGAAACAAAGTCAACACAGATCTTGGTAACTGAATGTAGCATCTGCAGATAACCAGGGCAGCCTTTCACGCAAAACGTCATACATGTAAGTAACATTTTGGCAACTTTCCATTGAAACACATGTATTAATAAAAGTAAACATGTGTTTCAAAAGAATGTTGGTGAACTTGTACTTATGACGGTTTTGTGAAAACGATGCCCAGAAGGGCTTCAACTCTTTGTACAATACTTCTGATTCTCAGAAGACAATGTTAACCTGTCGACTTCTGATTCTCAGAAGACAATGTTAACTTGTTGACTATTGAATTCTGTCATTCACATAGGCTTAATACAGGACCCAGATGGGTTCAGATTTGTTTGATGTTGTGTGAAAGAGGAAAAAGTAGCCAATAATAATAATATCAAAAGTGGGTTCTTGTATAGCGCTCATATGTGTTAGACTTGACACTCCTGGCGTTCCGCAATTATTATTGGGTCGAGTGTGGGGAATGTAGATTAATGTCTTGCCAAAGGACAATAGTGCCCTGGCGGGACTCAAACTGCGGACCTCGTGATTCACAGTCCAGTGACTTAACGACTTGACCCCGATACCTCAAGAGAGATATATGTTTGTGAATGGCATGTAGAGAAGAAAGGTCTCTATACTTATTTTTTTTTTTGGAGGCAATTTACAATGTCAAATAGGAATAAATGAGGCTTTAATAATAATAATAAAAAGTTGCTCATAAAGCGCTCACCATCAAAGTCTCTAAGCGCTAGTGTTCGAAACTCTTACTCACCAAATTTCCCTGGCTTAATCTGCTCTACAAGCTGACCCGTCATGGACTCCCAGACTTTGCCTATCATCTCCAGCAGCCTGCTGCCGAAGTGAGCCGTGATGGTGGTCAGGGCCATCTCCGCCCCTCTCCTCTGGATCTTTGCCTGCTTCATTGCTTCCGACGACTCCCCTCCGGGATCGGCGCCCAGGCCCAGCGCAATGTCAGGCATGCTGCTGTCGCGGCTGCGAGACTTCATGAAGGCTGCTCGTCTGCTGGCGGCAGTCCAGACAGCTTGCTGTATCGGTAAAAGATAAAACAGGGCCCAGTCTTACAAAGAGATAATATTAATAAGAGATAGGAGACTGCAAACTTGCGATTGATAAGAGGACTTGCGATTGATTCAAAACAGGGCCCTGGTTGTCCTATTTTAATTTGAAGATGTGCAGGCCAAGGTCTTTTGTACCTTGCCTAAGATCTGTGGTGTATAGACTGTCATACATGTAGTAATACACACAAAGACAAAACATTTATATAAACAGACATCATGAAGAATCTGCTGAGAGCCAAACTGTGAGTTATAAATCTCTAGTAAAATTGTAAGTCTGGCTACAGGACAGGAATCAATATAATTATCTTTTCGTAACCTGCAGTGTATGTTGTATAAAGATATACTGATTATTTCTATTTTTTTATTCCAATCATGATAAAACTCCTATTGTCTATTCAAGAAGAACAAAGGATAGTTCAAACATTACCTGCTGTTGTTTGGACAGCGTAAGAACCCCATGAAGCTTATCACAGGGGATGATCGCCTGCAAGCTGCTCCCCTCCCCGCTCCCGACCGTCATGGGCGAGGACGACCTGGACCCCCCTGGGCCCGGCATAGGCACCCCCAGGGTGTTTGATGGGGGCTCAGTGGTGGTGGAGGAGAAGGAGGACCGGAGGGGCTGGGAGGCGGGAGGGGTGATGGAGGAGTCGGAGCAGAGACAGGTGCAGAGGTTCTTGATGATCTTGGGGTTAGGGCAAGGCTGGCGGGATGAGCAGAGCTCCAGGAGGCGGGCCAAGTTTCCTGCTCCTCTTTTCTATTTAAAAAAAAAATAGTCATATCAAATTTCGATTTTCAATTTTCAATCTGATACCATTCCTAAAACAGGAAGATATTAATAATAATAATACAAAACATTTATTAGGCTCTTAATACGGTAGTTTACCAACCAAAACTATTAATAAACACACAAATTATATTGATTCTCATTTAGCTTACCAAACTTTAAAATATATTCAATATATCAATAAATCATGATCTTTCAGACTAGAAGGGGGATTATAAAAATAAACTAGATGGAATTCGACTGCGCGCAGTCGAAAATGATGCCTCCGTCATAGAGCAATTTTACAAACCAAAACAGAAGAAATTTTTCAAATTCAAGTTCAATTGTAATCCATTAACAGGTTCTCAGAATATCGTGATTACAAACAATTTCTCATATACATATATGACCCTTTGAACTTTGACCTCATGATCCTAATATCTACTCAGCTCATTGGCTCTGCAAGATATCCAGAGTTAAATAGTAATCCATCTGTCAGTTCTAATGAGAATGCGTTCACAAGCTATTTTTGCATACATAATGAGCCCATGACCTTGGACCTTATGAACCAAGAATCTACACAGTTCATTGGCTCTGCAAGATACATAAATGATCTAAGTTTGGCAGGAATCCATCAATCTGTTCTAATGATAACGCGATCACAAGCTGTTTTTGCATACATAATGGGCGCTGTGACCTTTGACCTTTGACCTCGTTACCCAAAATCTAATAAGTTCATCGGCTCTGCAAGTAACATACATGACCTAAGTTTGACAGGAATCCATCAATCGGTTCTTGAGATAACGCGATCACAAGCTGTTTTTGCATACATAATGAGCCCTGTGACCTTTGACCTTTGACCTCGTGACCCCAAAATCTAATCAGTTCATTGGCTCTGCAAGATACATACATGACCAAAGTTTGGCAGGAATCCATCTATCGGTTCTTCAGATAACGCGATCACGAGCCGTTTTGCATACATAAAGAGCCCTGTGACCTTTGACCTTTGACCTCGTGACCCCAAAATCTAATCAGTTCATCGACTCTACAAGATACATACATGACCAAAGTTTGGCAGGAATCCATCCATCGGTTCTTCAGATAACGCGATCACGAGCTGTTTTTGCATACATAATGAGCCCTGTGACCTTTGACCTTTGACCTCGTGACCCCAAAATCTAATCAGTTCATCGACTTTGCTAGATACATATATGACCAAAGTTTGGTAGGAATCCATTGATCCGTTCTTCAGATAACGTGATCACGAGAACGGGACGTACGTACAGACGTACGTACAGACGTACGGACGGACGGACGGACGGACGGACGGACGGACGGACGGACGGACGGACAACCCGAAAACATAATGCCTCCGGCTACTTCGTAACGGAGGCATAAAAAATCAACAGTGTATTGAAACTTTTTAATGAAGTGTACATGTACAAGGGCAGGTGATATATTTTCTCTCACATGGTTTAAAACGACCTCTAGCACATTGAAGGCTCAAAGATGACAATATCTAACAGGAAATTTGGGTATTTCGTATTTCAACTTTCAAGAAAAATGTGTATAGACCAGGGTGACATTGATTGTATACCCTTCTCTGCAATGAAAAACATGCATTTTGCAAACATGTAGGTTATTCAATTTCTATTTTCTTCGATTTGTTTGACATTCTATGAATAGAATAGCCTAGATGCAAGCATATCAACAGATGACCTAGTCACTCTGGTATTAAAGGCATCGGTTATCAATTTTAAATCTGAGATGCATGGCCCTACGTGTTATCAGTGTCTGTGATATTGTGTAATATTGAAGCCCTAAAAAACTTGCGCTTCAAAATGATCATGAAGTGCCTCAAAAAAGTAAAAATCTTTGAGTGACCGGTTTTACTATGCTGGTTTTCCCCAATAGACCGTAGTGTTACGAAAACCGTTAGGAAAACGCAAAATTTGGTTTCGATGTCCAATCATAAATATCTTGATAATCAGACAGGCCATCATTGCAGCATGAGCTAAATCCAGGATTTTGTTTTAGAATCTGAGACAAAGTTACCCAATCCCTTTAAGACTTACAACTTGATGCATCTAGAGGGTGGTAACCCTACCTGCATAAGAGGACTCTCTTCCTTCTTCACAGCGTCCATCAGAGGTCTGATGAGTGGGTTCAGCTTATCGGGTAAGGCTTGGAGTGAGACGAGGGCTCCTGTTACGCAGGACTGAGTTCTAAGAGTAGGATGGGATGAGATATTCATGGCAATAACATGGTTTAATCACACAAGAGTAAACATTGTATGTGCCAATTCCTGCATAAAAGTGGTTGAATAAACTACTTAGCAAAAACAGGTTAAGGGACATCCACAACTATGAAAAATAAAATAAAAACTATACAATTGCTTTGCATCACCTTTCAAGTTTTCATGTTAGATTAATCTCTTGAAGTTATGAGTAAATGTTGGTGAGGTATTTGTCCAAACACACCACAAAGAAATGTTCCTATGTTGAATAAATGTTTTTTCAGTTCAGTTCAGTCTTCGTTTCATTCTCAATAAAAACAACATACATGTACAAAGAAATAAATACACAACAGAGTAATACCAATAGAAATTGATACAGAATAAGTAGTACAAAAACAAATTATGAGAATGAGGGGTTAACAAACAAAAAAAATTCTTATAGTACGTTGACCCCAAAATTAACAATACATACATAATTATAACAAACAAACAGACAAACAAATAGTAAACATTCACATATTTTTTTACCTGATGCTGAGTTTCTGCTGCTGTTCATTGATTTCATTGACAGATGCCAGCACCTGTCTAGCCTTGCTCTGTAGGTCTTGATTGCTATCGCTTCCACCGACCGTCTGGGATAGGTGCGGCTGGACCGAGTCGTACAATGACTTGGCCTGGTCTACTGTAAAGGCACTGAGCATGGAGGAAGATGAGATACAAACACGGTTCTTGCTTTAACAAGGGTATGATTTATTAGAGGCGTTACAGACTTTTGTAACCACCAAAATGTTGTATGGAGAAGGTGGTGCCATTTCTGAACAAATTATTATATCCGTTGATATGTGCTGCGGGACCGAGTTGTACAATGACTTGGCCTGTTCTACAGTAAAGGCACTGAACATGAGAACAGATGAGATATAAATACGGTTCTTGCTTTAGGGTATGGTAAAACATATTTTGAACTCACTCCTAGATCCATATCACATGATTAATCATAAGTGGTCAAGTGCGATTTATTTGAAGCTATCAGACTTTTTTAATCACCAAATTGATCAATGGAGAAGGTGGTGCCCTTTCTGAACAAATTATTATGTCAGTTGATATGTTTTGCTGGACTTGGCCTGTTTTGTGATGGCATGTTTTTAGGAGACGGACAGGATAGAAAAAGCGGTTCTTACTTCAGGATATAATATACATGTACATTTGGATCCACAAGGTCATTATAAGCTCTGTCGTAAAATACATAAGTCCCCAAGTCACGTTCATGTATATTTGGAGTGAACTCCAACAAACAAAATAGACGGGCAAAAGATTGCATTAAAAAAAATACAAGTTCAACACACAGTGGCATGCAATTGTTGGATTGTCCAATTCTTATTTAAAGATGATAAAGTAAAAAAAAAAGGAAAGAGACATTTGGTCAGAGAGGACCTTTTCCTACATGACTTACCTTGGGAAACTTGTTTGCAAGATGTCAGGTCGGATTGCTCTCCATGACACGACAAGGCTCTATGAGTGAAATACAGATTCGCATAAAATATTCTCCTTTCTAAATGCATCATCACCACCATCCATGTCACCGTCGCGATCAACATCATAGCCATTACTGACATCATCATTGATAATGCAATATCAACATCATATCAAATCAATTGATTCATAATATATATATATATATATATATATATAATATTTTTTCCCGTAAAATGAGAGTAATTTTAATTGTTTCATACTTTTAATTAAATGTAATGTTAATTGTTATTGTATGATTGTTTTAAATGGGGGCACGCTACAAGAGTCCTTATCTCGCAATCCGGGCAACGTGTCTAACACGGCCGGTTGTAGCAACTACTCCGAAGATCAAGATTTAATCTTGATCTAAGGAGACACGAACGAACAAACGAACGAACATCATATATCTCTATGCACTTCCAAAGAACTTTGGATACTAACACTTGGCTACAGGTTAGCCCCTACAATAAGTGTCACCTTTGCCATTAGCATTTTTTCTTATTTCTCAAAGTAGGTGGGAAAATACATTTCCTTGATGATCATAATGATTTTTGCTCATACTCTCCAACCCAGTTTACAGACATACATTACAAATTCAAAAACCAATCTTGAATTTCACTGTAAGAGACAAGCTCTTGCATATATTCAACATATTCAAGATTAAACTTTGGGCAAGATTCCCACCTACAGTACCACAAGGATTAAATGCTTACCTTGCATTCTAGCTGTAATTTCATAAAAGGATTGGTAACCTCTTCAAAATAGACTGTACTGGATAAGACTTCTACCAGGGTTGACTTGAGGCCATCAGGGCATTTGCAGTTCTTTGAGAAACAAACATAATAGTTTTTAAAGTCATTTATTTAAATAACTCATTATGTATTAAATATAGTAAATCTATCATAAAACACACGTCTTTAGTAGAATAAAAGATGGTTCCTAAAGTTGATATGCACTACACGTTATTTGACAATTTGACAACCAGACATGGGCTCATCTTCTTCTTCTGGGGGGTGTTTCACAAAGATCCTAAGTAGAACTTAACACTAAGTTGGACTTAAAAATTATGGACAGCCATTGGAGCCTTAAAATGAAATATATTCAAAAGCAGAAATTCAAGTATTTTAGACATTTTAAAAATTCCACATCAAGAACATAGAATCTCCCATGATAATAGAAAATATGAATGATTTGAATCAACATTTTATGCCTTTTAAAATAACTTTTACAAAATGTTTTCAGGGATGCTAATGGCTTTCCATAATTTTTAAGTCCAACTTAGTGTTAAGTTCTACTTAGGATCTTTGTGAAACACCCCCCTGGTGTCACTACGCCACAACTTTCGCTCTTGGTTGAAATTGTCCCAATCCAGAGTCGGATGCACTGCATCGCACAGGGGGGTCAGATCATCCAGATCTTCAGCGGTGCAAGGGTCTGGGAGATGTGGGCAGGCTAGGAGATGTTGCATAGTCTCCCCTTCTCTCACACAGACATATCGTGTCATCATGACATGGAGCGCGTTTATCTAGGCTTGCCACTAGATATGTACATATCGTACCCCACTATCGAACCCCACTATCGTACCCCACTATACGATCGTGATTTGCGGGATGTCGCGTTTATCGACCCTTCACGATTCAAAATAAAGGCCTTGAGTCTGCCCAGCTGTTTTGACCCGGGAAGCAGACAGTTTCTCGGAGGTCAACTTTACACGTATGCTTGTACACAACACCTGGGTGGTCATATTTGTATGTGAGGTTCAAAACAGCTTTGCGTTTATCGATCTCTCAGAAACGTGATTCTGGCTGTATGTCACATTCAAAACGCACCTTTTTGCGTCTTTAGATATGCCCATATCTAAAGACGTTTGAAAAAGGCCTTGCGTTTATCTACTTCTAAATTTGCCTGAAAGACGTTTGAGAAACCTGATTCTAGCCAAAAATTTGCTAGATAAACGCAACCATGGACTTATCTTGCATCTAAATAGTGATGAAGTGATATGCTATATACCGTAAATCTCCATGTATAAGGCGCTATTTTGGGGAGGGAAAAAATATATATATATATATATATATAATTTTTTGTTATGTTGTTGTTGTTTTGTTGCCGAAAACCCAAGGGGGAAGGACCTTCATTTAACATCGAGGTGCAGTTAAAGGCGCTGATTTGTGCTTGTAAACTTGTCACAAATAATAGTAACAATGTCGTTTTTAGAAGAATGTGTAAGATCAATAATGTAAATTAAAAACAATAGAGAACCTAGGTCCTAGGATAGAACCTTGTGGTACACCATTTGTTATATAAAAAAATTGAGGAATTATTATTATAAACTACATATTGAGATCTATTAGAAAGATTACTTTCAAACCAAGATGACAGACAAATTTTAGTGTTGTTTGTAGTTTCCGAGTGGTGAGTCAACACACTGATTACTGAGCTGGGAGACATTGGCAGGCATAGCGCCATAAATCGAAAACTAAAAAAAAACACTTTTTTTTTGTACCTGTGTATAAGGCGCACCCCTGACTTTTAATTTTTTCAGCGGCAAAAAAGTGTGCATTATACACAGAGATTTTTACGGTACACCTTTTACATAGATGTCATGCTTAAAGAGAAGGTTGAGTTCTTGGAAGAGGTGAAAAATAATTTGTGAGCGTTATCATTGTATCATGCAAGTGTGGAAGAACATCAGATAAAAAATGTTCCCTGAGAAGCATGGCTCTTCAAATGCCTTAACATTCTAAATATGGCATGTAATATCATACAAGTTGGGACAGATTTTTATGCCACATGTTCATGTAGTCCCATATACATCTTTTTGTGTACAGTGCTTGTAACTTTATAAGGACTGTGCCAAATTTCTTATCATTTTGATGATTCCAGAACCTTGCAGTACTTATGTGCTACATGATCAACCTTTTCTAATCGATTTCAAAACATTTCTTTCACAATGCAATTGCATGACCAGAACTCAACTTTATCTTTAACATTGCGCAACAAGCGCTTGAAAACTCCTGCAAATGATGTTGTACAACCTACCTGTAGTCCTGCTTTGGCCCACTCTTCAATCACCATGGCAACCTGCATCCGCTGCACTGCATTCTTGGTGTTGAGATGGAACTGGAGGACCTGACTGAAAGGGTCGAGTCCACCATCCTCACTGGGAGCTATGGTGAGGGTCAGGTAGGGAGCTAGTCGCCCGAGGAGTCTGAGGAGGAGATACAAAATAATAAATGGTGATGATGAATGTTTTTATACTGTGCTTGTAACAGTTACACACAATTGACCAAAGCGTTCAGAGTATTACAACCGAGTTTAAGGAAAATATTGAGATGTATATTAAAGATGTAACAAGTTATATTATATATATATATATAGCTAGGTAGGGTTCATTATTATCTGAAACCAAATTTACAAAATGGAGAGAAAAACAAAATTGTGCACAAAGCGTGATCACAAGATAAATCTATTTCTGTACAGCAAACATATTTAGAACTCCACATTACAAAATGAATGCTGTTGTTTTTTTTGCTTTTGCTGTATTTCCTGTTTTCATTTACCTTGCAGCAGTTGCCCTTGCAAGCAAGACAGCTTCTTCCTGATCCAGCTGAGATGCTGTCATGGAGATGTCCCCTCCGATGTACTCCACATCATCTTCAAGTATCGTCTGCTGGCACTTCCATGAAGACTTCCCGGGTGACTTGCTCGTTTCCTGTCAACAATTTGATTTCACACTTGTTATGAACATATGATCTTTGACCTTTGAACTCTTACACACCTCTGACTCTACTGAATGCATCCGAACATGCTTGTGCATACTTGATCCATTTACAGTACTAACATGTTATTGTAGTAAAGAAAAAAATGAGATGGACAGACAGACGACCTCGAAAACGTGATGCCTCTGGAACTACAGTGGCCATGGCTTTTATTATCATTTTGTGAAAGTTTCTGGTGTTACAGCAGTTACCATCAAATCTCTAGACTTTGAGCACATCGCACTTTGGCTATCAATTACCTTAGGCTTGTGCTTTGCTTCAATGATCATCTGTGGGTCAATGGCTACTCTAGCAGGTTGCATGGCTAGACACAGCCAGGTGCTCACCCAGGGGAAGGCCGCTTGAACCACAAACTCAAATGGAGTTTCCTGAAGGAGAGCATCCCAGACCTACAGGTGGTTGGATAGAAAGTATGTATCATTAATGATGTAAAAGTAAACCACCAATATCAAAGGTCATTTTCATCAAAAGGTCATCAAAAACTTAGTAAGTATTAAATTCAAGTCATAAATTCTGCTTCCATTTTGTAAAATTTAACTTTTGTTTAAACAACGCTACAGATAAATAAACCTAAAATATCTATGCTTTGATAAAGTTTGATCAAAGCTGGTTTAATATGCCTGTACATCTCAAATGAGCCTTTGACTGAAGATCATACATTATGCAGACACATGCTATTCCAGCACAGACTAAAGTATTTTCCATTCAACAAAGGTGAATGTTGTTGTGTATCATCATCATCATCCTGAAGCCTGGTTATATTTTTTGAGACAGCAAATGATAAAAGTGACAAAGGATAACACACTAACCCAACATTGTAGATCTGGCAACAATTTGTCTAGGCTTTATTTCTTCAAAGATATCGGGTTAGACACCCGAGTTTTACTTTAGGTTTAGGGCTAGGGTTAGGGTATAGTATTCGGTCCAGATTTCAACTTGGGAATCGGTAAGAGGAGGATACTGACCAAGGAGCAATTGTTACTATGGCATGTATTGTAGAACCATCATACAATATGTTCCCACTAAGGAAAGAATTTGTTTACACCATGTGGTAGGAGTTGATCTGTTACCTTTTTGACAAGTTCTAGGATATCCCTATTGGTCTCCAAGATGCATCTCTGGTAGACATGTCTCAGCATGTCAGTCAGGATAGAAGGAATCCAAGCTGCTACAGGCATCTATTATCAGGACACGATGAGAAAAGAGAATGTTATGAGGAATGTTTCAAAAAAACCTTCATTTAAAGATTGTATACTTAAATGTCTGACCATAAATGGATTATGAGAAGTTAAGAAGAAATGCCCCAAAAATGGACAAATGGGGAATATCACTAACTTCTCAAATGATGATAACAATAATTCATAAGACACATAAAGAGCTGTTCATGTTGTTAGCTAAAGGGAAAAAAGGACTTTGAGTCTTGGAACATTGAGTTAATGCCATGCATGCCACAATTGTATGGGTTTTATGGTTTCCCCCAAGACATATTTGATATTGTTTGAATCATTTGCTTTGTACAGTAGAATTATTCCATTACTAACAATGCATGAGAAGTAGATAAAAGTTTAACAATAAAGACATGAAGTACAAGAGACAAAGCAGCAGAAGGATTCTGTGCATACCTGTGGATTCTCTGTACAGAGCAGTGTGTAAAGGGTGTCCAGGACGGCCCTGCGGACTGAGACGATGTTGTGCCTCATGAAGGGCCACAGCCTCTGCACCATGGTCTCTAGCGGCTGACTGAGACTGGACTGGATACAGACTGAAGGATGAGAGAGCAGGGAGGCTAGGAGGTTCATGATGCTGTTGGTGGAGGCGGTCAGGTCGTCCAGCTCGACCAAGGTCTCCCAGAGCGTGTGCAGGATCTGCATCACCTGGAGAGAGAAAGGGGAGAAATGGTTGCCATGGTGATGCTATGGGATGATTTCCATAGGGTTTCAGAGCTTCATCAAATCACAAGAGGTACAGAGTGGAATACAAACTAGATGTCCTATAAACAGGCTATATGTTTAAGAAGATTAATGACAAAATACAGGAGCTATTGCTTAACAATGCAGCAATGATTTTTTGAACGAAGCAGGGTGTTAAAAAGCTTAAACAGTCTAATAAATTCTACATAATATTGATTACACACAAATAATAGAAACGCATCATAACCTCCAGAGGTTTATTCTGATTAATGAGATACTGAACATAGAATTATAATTTTGTTTGTTAATTTAAAAGGTTCATGGAAACTTCTTCTTTTTAAAAAAAATCATTGGACCCCCTTTTCTGGAAATGTATGATTAATTACTAAAAAATGGTTGTCTGGAACTGCAAGTTCATAGCTTCTATCAAATGATCATAAAGTTGATCAAGAGCTTACCTGTTGTGGACTTGTCTTAATGAGTACATGAGTGACAGGTAGCAAGGCCGCAGCGGATACGGCCCTCACGTCATCATCCACATCCTGAAGGCCTTGGATGATAGAGGGCAGCACAGCAGGAAGAAGAACCTCCGTCATTTCCTAGTTATCACCATAGAGACAAGGCAAGATATATGCATGTTTCTAGCTCGTGATAGACATTAGCAAGCTACGTAAAGAATTCAATGTGGAGAAACATTCATTTTCATCCCAAATTGTGTCCCAAATCAGATTCCTGTCTTAGACAGTTTCACCGGTACAGTTGAAACTTAGCTACCGGTAGATACAAACACAAATCATTGAGAAAGGTTTAGCAGAAAGTTTATAATCCATTTAAATGTTATGAAATCAATCATAGTCCAATGTAAATCACTAATGATTTATAACTTCTATTTCATCTCACATAATAAAGGTTTACTTAGTTTCAAATTTAGTTTTCCTTTTTTTTAAACTCTTTGCTGTGGAAAAAAATAAAAACTTTAGGCTGGTTATGTCCAGTGACTAATGTCAGATGAACAGATAATCTGCTAAGAGTAAATACCAATAACATCAAATAAATCTTAAGTGTTGGGAAACAATTTATCAATTGTTTCTTCAAAAAGTCTGACATATTTGAGATCATACCTTCCTGACCGCCAGCAGATACTTGAGTCCCAGAAGCCCACCATGACGGACCTCCCACTGGTTCTGGGCTAGGAGCTGGAGGAGGATGGTACACACACCATGCACAGCCTCGGGGGTCATGTGATGAAGGACCACCCCCAGAGCTTGGGCACACGTCTCTCTGACCGGGGCTACCACCTAGGAATGGATGTGAAAGACTTGGTCTTATAAATCATTGGTACTTTCCTTCTGACACTGGTATAATTTAACATTTGTTTGAGCTAAGGGACACCAACAAAATTATACTCAATGATCTAAATGTTACACTATAAGTTTTTGTTTCTTCCTAAAAACAAAAAGTTTTCCAATGTGAATTATCAAATATTCAACTTTAACAACACAAGGACAAAGACTTCAAACTTAAAATTCTGCTCTTAAAAGGGTCCAGGTTTGGTCCAGATTGGTAAAAAAGAAAAAAGAAAAGAAAAAGAAATTGATCAGTTCATTGTTCACACATAGTACCAAGGACTCCAAATATTCAAAGATCTCAGAATGATGGAAAGGTGCCCATTTTAGAACATCCACTCCCACATTTATGGAGTCACTTCATTACTTAATTGTTTTTTAAGCTTTGAAATGAAAACTCTCGCCTCTATACCAGAAACACACTTTGGTGCATAAAATGATATTATATTACTGTTATGAACGCCCAAATACTACTGATCTAAATGGGATTTACAATGAGGTACAATGCCTCTTCTCTTCTCATTCTTACTAACTTGCTTGTTGAGATAAAAACCTACCTCATCTGAGACAAAGTCTCCAAAGCGATCAAGGGCAAGCACACAGAGCAGTCGAAGTGACATATCTTCTAAAAACATCTGATTTAGAACATCCTGCAGGGTGAATAAAAATCATGAGACAGTGTTGTTGACAGCAATGAAATCAATTACAAGACTTGATATATATTCAAATGCTACATATGTTCAAAGGCACCTTGGAATTATTACCTCCTGAATTGATTACACTCTACAGGATCGCAAGAGACAGATGCCGATAGAAAAGTCTCATCACATGGGTCACAACGGGTCAGCCATGACCTATAGGACGATAATGACAACAAATTGAATTCACATTTTCTAATACTTTTCTCCTTGGTTGTCCAGGGCCAGAATATTCTTCATTCAACAGCAAACAATCACAGAGTTCTGAAACATCTGTTAATACAATTTACTCATCATCCTTTATTAGGTATATCAGCTGGTTTTACCCAATAAGCCTGAAGAGACCAGGGGGGTGTTTCACAAAGACTAAGATCGACTTTAAGTTCTATGGCAGGCCGTTCATGCCATTGTTTTCTCTCACTATTTACTGGCATCGGTCTCTCAAGGGACGTACAAATCATGGTCACAAATCTACATTTTTAAATAGTTCATATTTGAAGAAAAACATATTATCTAAAGATCATAATTGAGAGACAGATGGTGAGAGCAACCAGTGGCATGAATGGCCTGCCATAGTTCAGTCCAACTTAATTTAATCTTAGTCTATGTGAAACACCCCCCTGGACATGTTGTACTCTCATATATGTTCTGTACAAGAAAAACCTGAAAAAGCCAGAAACTTTGATGTGACTTACAGTACCCGATATCAGGCAAAACTCTTCTAACTGGCTCCTGCCAGCACCCTTTATTTGGGAGGGGGAGGGGATGACATTCCTACCTGGTCTACAGAAGTATCAGCTGACTTTCCTGCACTCTGTCCATGGGCCTTGAGGACCTCTCTGAGCCCCGTAGCTGCCCCATGCCTGATCTCCCAGGACTGGTGAAACAGGTCGTTAGTCAGCTGCTCACAGAAGGATGTAAATGACCAGTCTCCAGGCTGTCAGTGAAGACAAAGTTGTTAATCTGATGTTGTAAACAAGTGCATGGTATTAACATTTTCTGTGACACTTTACCAGTGTTTGCCAAAGAAATCAAGGTAACACAGTCTGTGTACAGCTACCACTTCAGAAGCAAAAGGCAAAATCAGGAAATGAAACCACAATAAATGCCGTATTACAATATCAAGTGAAAGAGCAATAAAACTGATGAAACTTTCACAAAGACATTATTCCGTATGTCCTGTGTCCTTTCAGATAAACAATTCACCAGCTTGGTGAGTGCTTAATACCTCTCAGTCTAAGAATTCCCCTGAACATACTACAACCAAAAGTGCTTTGGTGACCACTTGTCTATAAAAACCATCATTTTGTTTCACTTGAACAGTGATTCTCACCCTGTATAGAAAGACCACCCGTCCATCAAAATCGCTTTTCCTGTCCCATTAGAGCAGTTTATAAATACAGACTTCAATAGACTTAAAAATCCCCCTTTTCTTCCTCTCTCTCTCTCTCTCTATCTTTTTTTTTCTCTCCCTCCCTCCCTCCCTCCCTCCCTCCCTCCCTCTGTTGCTATTACCTCTTCCAGGAAGATGGTATTATCAAGGCTCTCTACCACCGCCTTGTCAAAGGACATACTGGCTTGGCTGCCGAAGGTACTACCGGCTCTCAACCGCTTCTTGGTCGGCTCCTCCTTGTCCATGCTGGAGGGAGAGATAGAGTCAATCAAGAAATGTCACTCTCAAATAAACTGGTATAATCATACAAAGAGCAGAGGATTTGAGGTTTACAGGGGAAAGCACCCATGAGATACTTGATAGTGCCTGTACAGAAACAGCAAAGTTTCAATCATCACTTCGGTCTGAAATGATCACGTTTATGCCTCTAGAAATCTTTCTAGCAAGTATTAAGCACTCTACAAATATTGAATTAAATTAAATCAAGTTATCAGGAAACCATACAATTTGTTACATTGATCAATTATCATTTTAAGACCTTTGGGTAATAAGCAGTAACACTCTCTTCAAATGCTCCAGACACTAGAACACAACACCCTTTGTGCATTTCAGCAAAATAAACATATTTTGACAGGCATCTTACATCTTTGCATTTCCATTTCCCTATATTCATGGCCTAATAAAATTTGTATTCTGAAGATTGTTATTATTATTATTATTATTTATTCGGCAACACAAAGTTTATATAAAAGAATTACATAGAAGAACAAATCATACAAAATAAAGGTTGAAAATCATTAAAAGAAACATTATCGTGATTCCAATGAGCATTTACAAGTTGCCAGGAATGGGGCAGGCAAACTAAATCACCGAAACCGTGAATGTCCCCCATTTCGACTTGCAGTACTCATGGGAGATCACTACATTAATAAAATGTAACAACTAACAAGAGAATAGCAAAACTCATTATGGCAATGATAAAAGAACAAACTCTAATTATCAAATTAGTCAATAAAGTAGAAATTATTTCCTGTTATTTAACGAAAATTATAAAGAGCCAAGTTATCAACAACAAAAAATATGTCTTCATATTAGACAATTATGAAGTGAAACAAATAAGAACGATGGACTCCATCTTGGTAGCAAAATACAGGCTAGGAGAGTACAGTTATTTAACATGGATATTTTATGTTCCAATTAATTAAAATATACAAATGTGCTTTGTGTTGTACAGTATATTAGATAATTATTAAGGGGCAGAAATGCAGATGTTTGGCAAGAGTTGTAAAGTACAAACTATTCCTTTGGCATGTTAATTTTTAAACCAAGAATCGAACAAAATCGAACAAATTATAGAAAAACAGGTTGTAATGTACTTACAAGGCAAAGAAATTACGGAAGCTGTTCAATTGATGATAGTAAAATTTGTAATTTTAGGTTACTGTAAATAATCAGGTTAAGCAGGAGAATACAAGTATCATCATCTAAAAACAAAAGGTAATATCTGATCATCCTACAATAAAGTAAGCAGATAAAACACATGTATATATACTAAAAACCTAATAAAACTGACAGCAGATTTGGCTCTTCAATTTGGATTGCCAAGTTTGATATTGTGACAATAGAAAGTTATTACGAAGTTCTGCAGGGAATTAATTCCAGAATCGAGGAAAGAGATACAAAGCAGTATTATTCAAACACTGGGTTCGGGCAAGTAGGTGATGAAACTTCAGTTCATTTGGGCGGTGTGTTATCATCAGGATATTTTGTATAACTACATCACAGTCAATGAATCTGTAAAGTGATTTACAAATGAATGACATCAGCAAGTACTTTCTACGAGACTCAAGTGTATACCAGTTAAGTGACCTTAGACGCTGATTGTAGGGCATCTGTTGTCGGAACTGTTTTAGTGTCAGACGAGTTGCTCTACGTTGGATGCTTTCTAATCTGTCACATATATTACGATTGACAGGGAACCAGGCTGGTATACCATATTCAACAAGCGGAAGAACAAGTGCTTTATACAGATAAAGTAGGGCTGGTGGTGAGAGACCCCAAGAAACAGAAGTGATGAGACCTAACATACGATTTGAATGTGAGACAACATAATCAACATGCGAATCCCACTTCAGGTTACTGGTATTAATTATTCCAAGATATTTGGTTTTCTGGACAACTTCAATTGGTTGATCATTCAAAATGTAAGCAGGCGGGTAAACCCTTTTGCGCGCTGCGTATAATCTCATCACTTTCGTTTTGGAGACATTTAGAGACATACGGTTAGATAAGCACCAATTAGAGACTTTAGTGAGATCGTTTTGCAAGGTAATTGAATCAACAATTGATCTTATTGGCCTAAATATGATAGTGTCGTCGGCGAACAACGCACTAGGAGAGTCGACTAAAGATGTCAAGTCGTTTATAAACATATTAAACAAAAGCGGTCCAATCACACTCCCTTGGGGGACACCAGCTGGAACTCTAGCCCATTCAGAGACAGCACCTCTATAGATTACTCGTTGGCGGCGACTGTAGAGTAGATGGCGATGCCAGAGATTACCACTGATGTTGAACTGAATGGCTAACTCCTGCAACAACACATTATAAGGCAGTTTATCGAGGGCTCGTGAAAATTCCAAATATATTACATTTTTTTTACCTGGTTCCTTCTAGACCATCTTTGGACCTCTGTTTAGCTAGCAGCTTAGCCTTTCTCTTAGCCCTGTTCTTCTCTCTAGAACTCAGGCCAGGACCAAGGCTAGCCATTTCCTGGGCTACAATGTCAGCTGCACTTGCCTAGATATTAGAGTGAAGCAAAATTATGATAACAAGATATTAAACATGAACCAGTAGCTTTGTGTCTCATAAACAATCAAAGTTCACGTAAATGTCTATTACAGAGTATCATACTTTTAAGCTTTTTTTTTTTTACACACAACAAAATATTTACATTAATTCAAGAAACTAAGACAGGACAAAATTTTGAGGAGGCCAAAATGATCTTCTGTATAGATTTGCAAGATCTGATATTTTAGTGATCTATGTTTCAGTTGGAAAAAATGTATAACATGTTTTGAAAGTAGTAGGTATAACCTATGACTATATTATGAAATGCCCCTTAAAAAAAGACAAACACACAAACAAAGGGCCAGAAGAACAAGGAAAAATATGTTAGATTGGAGAAGCTTTTCATTGACAGAACAAAAAGAAGTTTTTAGAACTCACTGGAGGTTTCAACAGATTTGAGCTCATGGGAGTCTGAGGGAGGGTCTTCAGGTCATCATCGGTGAAGAGGTCATCCGTTTCAACGCCGATGAGACCAACATCTAAACCTAGCTTCTTCTGTAGAAGTCTCTTCTGCTTGGCCAACCTTTCTTTAGGATCACCACCTGCAAACACAAACAGGAAAACAGCATTATGGAAACAAAAAAGCTTATAATTATTCCACATTTTCCACAATTGCAGTAGAATGAATAGCCAATTTCTAGATCAGTATCACAATGAAAGATGTTGTTCAACAACATTTTTTTCTATTTTTTCTATCTTGATACCAACAACGCTCCATGATACCAAACTCTATGAACCGGTATTTGATTAAAAGAGATGCAAGGTTTCTTTGTCCCAAAATTTAATAAATGTAAAATATTGTAATCTGCAAAGGCAGAGAAAGGGTTGTACCCAAACCTAGTCAAGAATAATCCCTGTACCCTTTATAATACCTGGGAGGAACAACTTATTTTACATGAAGCTAGGGAAAAGATGAACCAATGTCTGAGGAGACACATAAATGTATCAAGATTTGGCTTCCAAATTGAGAGTAAGTTGGTCTTGTAGTATGGTAAGCAGAGCAGCCAGCTATCTGCTTTCACCTACAAACTGTCTCTGACATACCTAGGTTTGAAACTGAATTACATCTTCAGGATGGCAATGTAAAATGTTGGTCCCAGACTTACGTAATCATATCTAATTGAAAAAACATCAGTCTGTAATGACCCAATCATACACAAACAAGTGAAACTGAGAGAAGTTCTAGTACGTACCAACATCAACTTCAAGCTCATATTCTGATCCTGCTGAGCCAAGGAGAGAGGCACCTTGTTCCAAGACCCGAGCCACATCAAACTTAGAGAACTCCAGACGACTGGCCTCACGTTGGGCCTGGGCAGAAGTTACGCCGATACTGGGTGGACCATCTACGCCTGGTTCTGAGAAAACGAGACAAAAAAGTTGAAGAGACACATAATTCATCAATATTTTATGCTGGTGTTTTAGTCTTTCAGGCAAATAGTATGTTGTGGATTGGAGCATATACCACATACTCACACATTGTACAAAAGATACAAATAGAAGCCAAGGATGACAGCTTGCCTTCATATAAACCTTCACATAAAAAATTGCTATCATCGCACCACACAACCATGTGTACTACATGTATCACACAGGTTTGACTATGATTGGTCTGCATATATTTAGAGGGGTACTCTGGAGAACTGGATTCCCACATACTGCATTCTTGTAGTTTAAGAAACTAATAATAGGGTATACATTTCAAGAGACTTTGAAGTAGGAGCTACCTGGTTTGATGGGGTTGATGGGATGATGTGATTGTGGTACATTCTTAGCAATGGCTTCCACAGCTTGCCCTGCAGCTATCCTTGTGTCCCAAGATCCACTCTTCAGATACCCATGAACCTGTCCAGTTTATTAAAAGAAAGGTTGAGTACGGGTTAGGTGAAGAATCAAGTGATTAGCATTCTTTAAGATTTGGACTCACCTAAAAACTTACCATTTGAACCAAGTGTGGGGATTTTTCGAGTTTCAAAGTAATTTGGATTTTGCATTTACAATGAGTTAATAAAATCTGTCATTTCAGAAAATCTTATCGAAACTTTGTTAGCATCTATACAATTCATTAAAGAAAAGAAAAGGTTTGCATTAATGATAGATGCCAGAGCTCAGGGGATAATTTCACAAACTCAAAAGTACAAGTTCACGGACATCCCACTGTCGAGTAAACAGCAATATCATTATGTGGCAATGTGGGTGACAATATTCATTAAAATCTAGGTTTGTTACAATTCATGACCAGAAATAATTCTGACCTATGAACACACAGAACAAGACCATCAACATCACTACAATTCTATGATCTGATTTCTTTTTTATTTCTACAATATCCTTGCGCCATACTTGTGTAGTGAATGTTATTCATTTAATTTCCTTATCAGCTTGGCTGGATTGTCAGCAGGAAGTCTTTCAAAGTTGCACCACCATCATTAATTACTAGTACATTTTCCTTCCTCATATCACATTACAAAATTTCCCCTAATCTTGTTTCTTCTCCGCATATTTGTTCATGAATTAATAATTAATCTTTATTTTACTGTAAGATGAAACCTGTTAGGATTAGATTCAAACACAGAATACTCGCCCAGCCAAAGAATGATGATGTCATTCTCTTATTCATGTTCTTGTATCTTCACATTGCTATTTTAGAAGTATATGAGCTCCCCAGTATGGTAATGCCTTAACCCTTCCTCTACGACAAGCTTTATAAACTTGTATAATAGATTAGTGTTCATCGCGATAAAACTTTCCTTAATACCATTATTTCATGATAATTCTGTGATACAAACTGTTATGGTTCTTGAATGAAAATAACCATACATCTGATTGATACCGGTATGTTTGTAACAACCAAGTTCCCCATGTTGTGATAATGTTAAGAACTTAAGATCAATCAAAATATATACAAAATAGCAAAATTTGCTGAAAGCCTCAGATCCTGAAAATTGCCAACATACATGGAAACAAGGGAAACGCTCTCGGTGGTCTCGCCTGCATAATGCAATTCAATATGATAAACCAGAACTTCAATGACGTAGCGCTCATCCGCATCTCGCAACAACAAATATCGTAAATTTTATGTGGTATAATTTTGAACTGGTCAAAAAAAAAAAATTGATGCCCTTTAAAGTACCATAAATAATCAATGGAGCAAAATCTCAAAATTCTGTGTTGAAGTTTATTGTACCAAAGTTAGCTCTACAATATAAAGCAAACCAAATCAAAATCGGTCGAAATATGAAGGAGAAGAAGCATTTTTTGTGATTTTTAAATTATTTTTGGAATAAATTTGTATAAATTACCATAATCAATCAGTGGAGTAAAATCTCAAAATTCTGTTTAGAAGTTTAGTGTTCCAAATTTAGCTCTACCAGATAAGGCAAACCAAATCAAAATCGGTCAAGAAATGAGGGAGAAGAAGCAATTTTTGTTATTTTTGGAATAAATTTGCATAAATTAGCATAGATAATAAATTTCACGATTCTGTGTAGAAATTTTAAATCCCCCTCCTAGCCCTATCATATGAAACAATCAGAATCAAAATCGGTTGAAAAATAAAGAAGAAGCATTTTGAAAATCTTGATGTTGATGCCACAACAAAGTCTAAGTTTGTTGACCTTAAATGACCTTTGACCTTAACTTAGTGACCTGAAATTCTACTCACATGATGGGGGAGACTTGATAACCCTATAGTCCAAGTTTCATTGACTAAGAACTTATACTTTCAAAATTATATCAAAAATTCAAAAACTTAACCTTAGGTTAAGTTTTCGATGATGATGCTACAACATAGTCCAAGTCTGTTGACCTGAAATGACCTTTGACCTTGACTTTGTGATCTGAAATTCTACTCACATGATTGGGGATACTTGATTACCCTATAGTCAAAGTTTCATTGACTAAGAAGTAAGAACCTATACTTTAAAAAATTATATTAAAAATTCAAATACTTAACCTTAGGTTAAGTTTTTGATGTTGACGCCGCCGCCGCCTTCATCGGAAAAGCTTCAGACATTTAACAGCATGCTGTATTTACTTATTACTTAGCAATTATATATTCACTTCCAGAAGTATTTTGCATATTTGTATTTATTCATAAATATATGCGGATATATATTATAATTGTGAAATGGATATTGTTTGATTTTTTAAAATTTCATTTACGGTTTTCACACCTGGTTTTTTGGGGGGGGGCTAACAGGGTTTTTAGCTCTGCAAGTTCCCGGCCTAAGCTGGCGCTGCTCTCGAGTAGGGTTAGCGTGGCAATTGCGGCGCTAGCTGCGCTTAACCCCGCAATTGCTAGCTGTTAACCCGGGGATAATTTACCAGGTGTGAAAACAAATTTCTTAGCCTGGGCTATCCTTAGCCTGGTTCTTAGCTCGGGCTAAGGATAGCCCGGGTTATCTGAACCAGGTGTGAAAACGATAATTGTTACTTAAACTAAATGTTTTCTTGAATTACCTTGGAGAGAAGGATATGGAGATCATGAGGATGTAGTTTCTGAACTTCTCCGAGCTGTTGTGCAGCAGCCCTTCTTGTGACATGGGTAGACCCTGTCTCCAGGAGAAGGAACAGTCTGTCGAGTCTGGAGAAAAACAAACAAGGAGGAAAACATTTGAATGTTCATCTCTGGTCATGCCAAAAAATAAACAAACATTTAACTTTAGAAATATGTTTATGAAAATATAATAGGATTTTTGTTTGCATTTTAGTCATAGTGTTTCCCTGAAGAGCATACGATAAGATTAATTTACAGCTTCTGTCAAAAGCACACTTTTTTTTCTTCTTCCAGTTATCATTTTGCCTGTGTTTTTTCTGATTTCAACTCTGTGGCTTAGTGTAGGCCTAGATGGACCATAAATAAATGTGTTAAAGCTGAGGGATGAACCTATTCTTTCTAATCATTACTTATCTTTTTTTATTGACGTTTGTAATACATGTTTCACAATCTTGAGCAATGAAAAACAAGGAGAAACAATGATTAAACAAGTTATCTACAGTTCTACACAATGATTTCCTAATGCACACAAATTACAGAAAATATTTGCACATCATGCTGCTTATAATATCTTGCAATAAAATGATAACTTACCTAGTAGCCATTCTAATCTAAATCTTCCTGATCACTGAGACATCAAATTAATGCAAGAAGCTTTAATACCATGGGTTTCTATCAATGAAAGTAAAACAAAACACATTTAGGCCTACATTTGAAATGGATTACCAGTAAGTAAACACTCATTACAGTTTATACTGTGTAGTGCTGTAGTCTATATTTTTATTTTTTAAGAAGTTCACTCATATTTATAAAAAAGGAATGCAAATTATTGTTCTCATCAAACAAATAGATTCAAAAACTAATGAGGATATTATGAAAAGATAAAAATGTTATATTCAACATCACATTACATTCATAATCTGCAATGTACATCGACAATACAAGTGAAGTAGTCTCGGACATAGACCGAAAGCTCCCGTCTAACCAAATCAATCCAATGTCTCTGGTAACTAGATCTACTACCGTACATGTATCAACAGTTGTTCTGCTAAGCTGAGCAGAGTCTATGAATGTCTGGCATATGAATGTGTGTATGGGGAAGGTTGACAAATGTCAGTTTTATTTATACAATTCCCCATACCAGGCGGTTATTACTGTCTATAACGCAGCTCAGCTCAGACACAGCTGCAGCACAGACAGTGCACAGCCACACACATCCTGCACATATCACAACGCAAACTTCAGTCACAGCGTTAATCTCTCTTCACAGCCCCGGGAAGCTTAGGGGAACCAACAGGCAATGGCATGCCTATCCCGATCCGGGAGCCCCACACACAGACAAAGGTCACCGTTCAACGGAGTGAAAGTTTGAGGAATAATTGAGAAAGAATACCTACTTTAATAAAGCACACTTCCACTCCATCAAAAGCAGACAATCATATCATCACACACGAACAATTTGTTTAGCGATATTAGCTAATAACTTACCCAAATATTACGTCTACGTCCGAGATGGGAATGCTAATTCGCCATCGCTACCGAGAGCAAACTCAAGCTAGCGATTGAAAGGTCAATCGTGTAAAGTTGACATGCGAAAGGTCATTTCAGCTACACACACGTGGTTACATCGCAGGTGTAAACAACAGTTAAAAGTGCATGCATTTTGCATCGCCTGACATTCTTGGCACATTCTCATTCTTGTCGATTGTGTTTCGTGATTATACTTGATTTTTGTTTAACCTGCATAGAAAACTATTACTGCTAAGAACTGTATCATTTCACACTGTATAGATCTAGACTCTATCAAACAGGGGTTTTGTCTACACCACCATGCCAAGTGACAAGTACAGGCAGAAAAATCCAAGAAATAAGCAGACTAAATTTCGACTGGAATTTGATGAGACCAGCAGAAAGTAAGTAGACCCCTATGTTTTCGTATTAATTAAAGTTAACATGTTGAAGAATGTCTTAAATAAAAGTTGATAAAGAAAGGAGAGAGAGAGTCCACATAAACATGATACAAAGTCACCAATGAAGTCAATGCGATTTTGATGTAGACTAGCTAGGCTAAATCAGTTAATGAATGAAAATGTTATGTTTAACCAATAAATGGCAATATACATTACAGTAGGACCTAGGGGCACTGGTCCAAGAATAAGGTACAGAGATTTTCACGTTATGAGCGATAATCTTTGGGAAGATAGACACCTCATAAAAGTAGACGGTGAACTGGGGTTATTATCTTATGCATAATCTGTTTTTTCGCATCACCGCAAAAATGTGGACGATCCTTATTTTTTAGGACGCAATTATTTGTCCGCGATAAAGAGGATATCCTTGTTTATGATTCCCATGCATTCTTTTACTGATAAAAATAGAGGTTCGGGGACAGCCCGACCAACGGACAGTTCGACCCTGAGACCTGAAGTTAACTAGCCTTAAATTAAGGGCTATACATGTATGTAGGTCGATCTAAAGCAATATGATATTGATATCACCTAGCATTAATTGGCACCCATACCCCTGAGTAAGACTCTTACTAAGACTCTGAGTAAGATTCTTACTAAGACTAAGAGGCAGCTACATGTAAACAAAATCACCCCTATAGTTCCTGCACCTGACGAACATCGCACACGTACTTGCTTTGGAGTTCGCTAGTGGACTCTTCTTTCTTCTCATACAAAGCACTCTGAAATCAGTCAGGAATTTAATTTAAAATATCTGATTTTGATACCGGGGTGATCGTGATTTGCTTACGTACGTACCTTCGTAACAATTAACACCCAAGTCTGTTAAATTCATATGTCTGTAATTATCCTATTTCATATATGTCATGATTTTGTAAAATGATATTTATATGAATATATTTCATCACTTTCATGACAGTTCAGAGTAAAATAAGTGTCATAAGTTCATATGAAAACCATGAGAAAACAAAGTTGGTTGAATTGTCCGGAGAGACACCCCACTAAGTGCACTAACTCGACCTAGCCAAGGTGACCACAGCTAGAAGTTGGTCAGGTTATCCAGGGAACCTGGTTGTCTGGACCCCATGCAACCTCAATTTATTGTCTGATTTATGCAAATATAGCCTTTTTAAAAAGAAAATCTTAATAAGAATATTTTTTATCCTTTCATTGGGGGGAGCTTTTTCTCATTCAATGCCCTCTAAAAGTTACGCACATTGTATGGATTGCAGGATTTTTTACATCGCCCATAAAGGTAATATATGTAGCGTGAGAAGCTTTTTAAATCTGCCATTTTAAAGAAGAAAGTGACCCAATATGGAGACCTTGGTGGAGAGTGCCAAAGGATGTTACTAGTGCTGGGCTGGGATTCAAACCTTTAAAACATATGATTGAAATGGAAAGTCAAGAAAATCAAACTCTGTAAAACTGTACCATATTGTCACCTTTATACTAGTCAAAGAACAAACATGATGCAACATAAAATCACCTGGGGCATCATTTTTATGATTTTATCTAATGTTTTATGTTGCTTTGACAGTGACTTTCTGACTGGCTTTCGGAAGAGAAAGAATGCACGAAAGAAGATTGCTCTACAAGAAGCGGACGAGAAGAGAAGGGAGGGGAGAAGACAAGAGAGGCAGCAGAGAAGAGAGGCGCTAGAAGAAGAGCTGAGTAACATCCGACTCCCAGGTAAGTTGATTTTGATTACCGGGTAACGTCTTTTGATGGGTTGAAGCTCAGCATGAACAGATTCTCATACCGAGTTCACCCATTGAAGACTGATTTCTCTTACCGGTATTCAATATAGGGAGATCATGTGGTTCCTGTAGGCAATGGCTTAATTCTGGCTGTATATGCTAAATGGGATGCTCAATCAATTTTTAACTGCATCAACTAAAGTCGAACTGTACAGGTGTAGATTAACATTCTTTTTATAACAACCGTTTTTAATCCAAAGTATATTTTTTGCCATAATTTAATTGAGGTTATTGGAAATATAGTCACACTTTGTGAAAACATCAGGAAAAAGTTTGGGCATCCTATCTGGCACTTCATATTTAAGTCGTTCGTAAAGTCATGCGTAACTTTACGAACTCTTTATGAAACACCCCTGAAGAGTTTGTAAAGTTACGCATGACTTTACGAACGACTTGTATATGAAGTGCCAGATAGGATGCCCTAAGTTTTTTCTGATATTTCCAATAACCTCAATTAATTTATGGCAAAAAATATACTTTGCATTAAAAATGGTTGTTATAATAAGAATGTTAATCTACATCTGCTCAGTTCGACTTAATAAATAATAATCAATAATTTGGCTTTTCATATACAAGTCATTCGTAAAGTCATGCGTAACTTTACGAACAGCTTTATGAAACACCCCCCCCCCCCCAGTCTTATAAGAGTTGCCATTGATCTGGATTGATTGGAAGTCCTCCGATCAATCTGGACATTACAAACATTTTTTTTTCTAGAAATCATATGGTAATATTTATTTATAATTTTTGTCTGAAAATGTGGAAATCGTTTAATCTTGCTATACATTTGTTGGTCTTTCAGAACCAGCTACTGAATCTCAGAAGGAAGATGTGGTGATTGATCATCCGGAACACACAGTAACCGTGACGACCACCCTGGATCTCCAGAAAGAACATGGAGGAATAGGAGAAAATCAGGTAACTTATTCACTTCACTAACATCATTTAGAAATCAAGAAGCCATGAAACGATTTTGTTTTTATTTTCAAAAAATTTGATGGCTGCTTGGAAAAGGAATATGATGATGATGGTGATAAGGATGAGATATGGATGTTGGCCATTTCTACTTTAGAGGATTTTTTTTTTTTAATAAATATTTTGCCTTCAAACTAACGTTATTAATCCTAGTTTCTTCCAATTTTTGACAATTTATGTGTAAAAGGTATACAAATTAGACTTTATCCCTAATATGGCATTGAGAAATTCCTAAATTTTGCTGTGAAAGGTTGGTATACATTATGGTGATCATGATGCAGGAATTCTAAGACACTGATTAAAGTCATTACTTTAATTATATACTTTTTACTTATTGCGCTAGGTTGACTACAATGAGGAGGAGGAGGAGGAGGAGGGAAAGGAGGAGTTCATCAATGGAGAGGAACTAGATGACGAAGATGAAGATGATGATAATGCAGGGATTCGAAGACATACCCAGGATGACGATGAAGAAGAGGAGGAAGCAAGTGAAGATGAAGAGACTATTAAAATGAAAGCAGAAAAGAACAAAAAGAAGTAAGAAACTTTGTAAAATGCCATATCGTTGATACAGAGCTGCCAACCTTTACGTTTTTCCTGGAATTATTCTGTTTTTTCCTCAAAATCCTTTTTTTACTTCATAAAATACATTGTTGTTGTTTTTTTTGCAGATACCGCACATCAACTAATTGCCCTAAAATGTTGTTCAATAGAAAACTTCAATAGAGATTTATGAAGAGTACGAATTTACAAATAGTAAAAGAAAGAAAGAAAAAAAGTGATGGGCGTAAATATACTCATAAAAGAATAAAAACACAGATAATACCAAAAACACAACAACAAAAAAATACCTACTTGTAAATAAACTATTGGTCCTAATATGGAAATATCAGTATTAGGAATGGACAATTCTGCATTGGAAGTGTGTCACACATGGTTGTAAGTTTTGTTTTAATGAATTCCTTTTTTTTGCCATCATGATCCCTTTTTTTGGTCGCACAAGGTTGGCAGCTCTGTTGATAGACACCCTAACGAAATATGGAGCCTGTCTTTCCACTGGCTTGTTCCTAGATGCCACAGAGGATTGTTCAGGCAATGTCCATTGTTGAAATGCCCATCATGTTCTTCCTTACATGTATACTTAATTTAGATTTTTGATTGACGCCCTGTCTCTCTGTATGTGTTGTTTTTTTAGTTTTTATTGGCGTGTATCATTCATTTATGAATATTTACGCCTTTGTGTTTTCTTTAAATCCTGTCTTCCCTCCATCCTCACATTCTCTCTCTCTCTCTCTCTCTCTCTCTCTTTCTCTTTCTCTTTCTCTTTCTCTTTCTCTCTTCTCTCTCTTTCTCTCTGTCTCTGTCTCTCTCTCTCTATCTCTATCCGCCTCTCTCCCTCTCTCTCTCTCTCTCTCTCTCTCTCTCTCTAGCCCTCTCCCTCCAGCCCCCTCCAGCCCTCTCTAGCCCTCTATCTTTGTCCATCTTTCTGTCTTAAACTATTTTCCTCTTTTTCATTCACTTCCCTCTATTTTCTGCCCCATATATAGTGGCCCTCTTTACTTTAATCCACTAACTTAAAGGTACTATGTCCCATTTGCAGGCCAAAAAATTGAAAAAGTTAAATTCCAACTGCATTTGAAAGATAATACTAATTTAGAACTTCCCTAAAAAAGGTGGGGCTTGAAAATGTCTTCAAGTGGGAAAATAACGACTATTAGTTGTCAAATCGACTTTAGGGCTATAGAGCCCAAAAGTAATAGTCTTGATTTTCAGACAATTGTACCGAATGGTCATATGTTTTATGCTGCACAAAGATTCAATCAGTTTAATCTTGGCCATCACAAGAAGTGGGTTATTGATGTAAACAAATGCTCATGTACCCTTTACAACTCTTTTCATGTATGTTATTACCAAAGAAGAAAAAAAGCCAGTCAGTCACTCAATAGTGTCTGACAGTGAAGTCTAGCAAGTAAACGGGTTTCCTTGCATAATTTGAATATGAGGACACTGCTAACGTTTAAATTTCACAGATAGGACATACATGACATATTCATAATTCCTGCAAAGTTCTACAGCATTTGAGGTTGGCTGCAACCTTTAAACCTTAAAAGATATCATTTTAAAAGGATGGGGAAAAAAGTATTTAAGTCAAGAATATTTGAAAAACTTATATTCTTTATCATTCTTTATCATTCTTTTATAATCGTCTTTCAGAGAGATATTCAACAAGCGACGACAGAAGATCAAGAAACAAATGGTGAAGAAGAAACGAGGAGCTTCCCAGCAGACGGTCAAAAAGATGAGGAGCATGAAGAAAAAATCATTGGGCAAATTCATCAAACGAGGCGAAGCAAATAAATCAAAACGGTGACAAAAGCCAATGTATTTTCTTTTCTTTTTATATTTAGTATTTATCAGTAAATATTGTCAATTTTGAAGAAGGTCGCATTAATATCCTGGCCCAGTTGTGTAATCAATTCAAATTGATTGCAACTTGATATCAATGACAAGTCTGTACTCAAGAGATAGGAGTTTGCGAGTTTGCCATCGATTGGAGGACATGCCATCAATTCAGATCGATTGCAATGTCCTGGTCTTATTTGGTCAGATATTGGAACCACGTTATCCTTTTGTAAAAGAAAAAGTTATTTTTGTTAAATATCAGCTGCATGTAGAGTGATATTGATGTGACCCTTTATTGAAACATTCCATAAGTGGAATTCAAAGATAAAGTTGAGTTCTGGTCATGCGATTGCATTGTGAAAGAAACGGTGTGGAATCCATTAAAAAAAGTTTATCATGCAGTATATTATCCGTGTGTACTGCAAGGTTCTGGTTTCATCAAAGTGATAAGAAATTTGGCCCAGTCTTGGTAAAGTAGCAAGCAATGTACACAGAAAGATGTATATGGGACTACACAAACATGTGGCATAGAAATCGGGCCTCATTTTTATGCTGTTACTTGTCATATTTAGAATATGGAGGCATTTGAAGAGCCATGCTTTTCAGGAAACATTTTATCTCTGATGTTCTTCCTCACTTGCCTTACAACAATGAAAACGCTGACAAATTATTTTTCACCTCTCCCCAGAACTCAACCTTCTTTTCGCTCTTCTGCTTTATTAAAAATCCCAAATAGGAAGCATTTTTAATTAACTTTTTTTATTGTGTTATCATTTCCTAAGTATATTTGAATTCTTATAAGGACCATTCTCTGTAATTTCATGGAGAATTTTGTATTCCTTTTATTATTTGTCATTTCACTATTGGAGAATATATAGCTTTGTGGCAGCTTATAATTGTATCTTGCTACTCACAGTGAAGGTAAAGAAATCTGATTTTTTTTTTTTTTTTTTTTTTTTTTTTTGGGGGGGGGTGTGAGGGGGGAGGGGGGAGATGGTAACACAAAATGTAAAACATGATACAGGCTTCAACTTCTTATCAAAATATAGAATGGTGATTTCACGAACTGTGTGTCCTGGGTGACTACATGTGTGTTTAATCTGTTATTTTATCCCCCCCCCCCCCAACAAAAAAGAAAAAAAGAATGAGACATGAAATATTTCTGGCTTTCTGGCATGGCTATATGATGACCACAGTCACCACACTACAAGTTTCATCACTTAAATGTAGTCAGTAGGCTGGAAGTTATTGTTCCATTGTGTAGTGTCTGTACAATATTACACAGAATGATTCAGAATTGCTGTTGAATTGTTCATACCCCCCTCCCCATATTAGGTTTTATTCCTCTTTATTCACAATTTAAAAACATATTTCAACAAGCTGGTTTCATCATACTTTTTCTTCAAAAACTGACTTTGTAAAAAAAGTTTAAAGACTTTTTACACATGACTCTCACTCTGTGGATAACACAAATATACACATAAATCAATTTTCTAGAAGTTTACTGCAAAAGAATTTTATTGGGAATAATACCACCGATAAGTTGAATAATAGATACATGTAATACAAAGCTGCATGAATAAATAAATTATAGTGAAGCACCACATGTTTCTCCACTAAAACCAAGATATTTACAAAACAAAACTTTCTTAAGACCTACAATCGATCAAAAATGGATTTCGTTCAAAAATACATGTAAATATGCCAAGTAAAATAGAGGCTTCGTCATTTTATTTTACATATCTACAACTGTTCTCCTTTTTGTGTTTGTTATTTCATGACTGGTCAATAGATAAGCATTACCCATTAATGCAATATGTATATTGGAAAAGTATAACTTTACATCCACACTGCTTGATATTACTTTGGGGAGTTATTTCAGAAAAGTAAAGCGTTTAATTTTCATAATAAGCTTGTTGGCATATAAGTGACAAACATAACAGGGAAGTATTACCAGATTAGAACTTTATGGTTGCCATATTGAATGCAACTTTGAGGTATGAAAAATAATTTGTACGTTTCAGTATTGTTATATCACCGTAGTTGTTACTGAGCCTTCAAATGTTTGTAGGAAGTTGAACACTATTGAGCACAAACAAGCTAAGTAATACAACAGTCTCGCCAACTAGACCAAGACAAGAACAGAAAGGGGCCCATTCCCCTCAAAGACTAGGAATACGTCAGTTTGAAATTAGTTTCGGATGTGAGAGTGATGTAAAAGTTAATAAAAAAACTTTTTGGTTGTTGTTGTTAACTCTGTCATACTTTGTGTCTTGTTACAAATTATTTCATTCACCTGTTATAAATACATGTATTTCGATAGTCAGAATGCAAATTGCATACATTACATGTTGCTAGGTAGGGCAAGTTGTAATGTTTGTCCTACCTAACATCAACTAATGTATGCAATTTGCAATCTGACTATTGAAATACATTTATTCGTAATAGGTGAATGAATATTTTGTAATGATTCTCAACAAATACTTGTGCATTCAATTTGATTAAATTGCGAAAATAGCATATTGAAATGTAACAGCATCACAGTATATTTAATTCACTGTATATTTACGACTACAGAATGTTTCACCACTTCAGGTTATGTAAACCTGGATGTAAAGAAAGTGGTTGGTTCTTGTCATATCCAGTTTTATTTCATATTCAGAAATGTAAGTCTCCTATTTAATGAAATAAAGCATTTCTATACATATACCTGTACATTGAGAACTAAATTTGCTTATTCTTTTAAAGTATGCATTTAAAATACTGAACACTTTTAATTATCGGAACTGAAAATTTGGAAGCTGGAAAAAAGGTTGTGGATGTGATACTTTCACCATTTAAATATTGAATCTTTATAACAAACGGTCTTAATACTGCGAAATGAAACTATTTGGTAGGTTCTTATAATCCTACCTTGAAATCATGAATATATCGCATTGAATTCATGAACATATCACATTGCCTTTATGAGCCTTTCTCTCTTTAACGATTCCTGTTTGATGATGAATAATATTATCTTCCATCAGGAGGGGCAAAGACAAATAAGGCACTTAACAATACAATCTGAATAATACACTGTAGTTCCTCAATAGTCAAAAGATAGGTACCAAAAGTTGCACCCATACATGATGCAGTGAGCCACATCCCCAAAACCTGCATGGCAAAACACAATCAACTTATAAAGTGAAGTGTACTTCACATGTCTACTTTTCTGTATTTCATTATCATAGAATAATCTTGATAAGGGGTCTTTGTGACCTGCTTCTCTTTTTATTCTTTTTTATTCTACTTGCCATTTATTTACATGTGAACTGGTTTCATTTGTTCAAGGAAGTGAATTTTTCGATGTTGTTCACCACATCGTGTGTGATAGGGGGTGAAGAGGTAGATAACGAGCAATGAAGAAACTTTCATACTCATGAAATGAGATTGATCTCATCAACAAAAAAAGGATTCCTTTTGTGCGTTTTGACCTTTATACATCAAAAAATACAAACAAATATGAATCAATCCCTAAATTAATACTTATTTTAAAAAACTTGTTCAGATTTATGGACTGATTTGGGCAAAGACGAATAAACTGTACATGTGTTCATGCAAATATGATGTACATTTGTAGTAAGTTACTCTTTAAAAACTTTCTGAGGAATTAGTGAATTACAGTTCTATACCACTTGGATGACATTTCAATAACTAGAATTGAAGTGCTAGAGAGAGGGAGAGAGAGAGAGAGAGAGATAGAGATAGAGAGAGGTAAGTTTATGGTTATGCCAAACAGGAATAAAGTCACACAAATGTGAGGTCAAGGTATATACATCGTAAGCGAATCTCTCCTTAAAAAAACAGTCGGGGATTAGTAAATTAAAGCCCCATAATACTTGGGTGACATGTCAATAACTAGAATGAAAGAGCTTCAGAGAAACATAAGTTTATAATCTTTGAATATTAATAGGAAAGAGTAAAGGAATGACCATCACCTGGCCCCCGTTTAACAAAACTTGACATCAGTGACAAATGACAGTTTTTGTTAATATAAGCTAGTGAAATCCTTGCTTCTGATTGGTTATCAGCAGAGTTGTCACTGTTTTTTGTCAGTTGTCATTGAAAAAGGGCTTTGTGAGACGGGTCCCAGATATTTACCTTGTGGGAAACTGATAAGGATGAGTGGGCAAAATTTTTAATACCTTAGAGGAAACCAGTAAAAAGATTCAACGATTGATCTTAGTAGTTAAATGAAAAGTACAAGGTCTTTCTGCAGGTTTACACAGCCGCAGCAGTCAAAAGTTTCAAGTAAACATGGCAATGGTTGTAAATGCAAGATTTCCTTTCTGCGTCTGGCATTGAGACTTCATTTCCACGCAAGACAAGAAGTTTCCAAGAATCTCAGGAAACCGCTTCCTCTGTAAAGTTTTGATTCCTTGAAATGTTGACCTCCTTTCCTCTCTCTGTTGACAGTTTCATGTTTAAATGGAAGCAACTTTAAAAAGAGTTTTCTTGTGTTGAAGATGCTTAACTGGTGAATTTCAAATTCTCAGGAAAACTGCTTCAGCAGAAATTTGATTCTTTGAAGTCTTAATCCCTTATCATCCTACAGTCTCACAACTAAATGGATGCGACCATCACCCGGCTTCTCTTCTTGAAGATCCTGAACTGGTAACATTCCGAAACTCAGGACAAATGCTTCAGCATTGCAGTTGGAATTCCTTTAAACCTCCACCCCTTATTCTCAATACAGCAATATCACATTTGAAATAGATGCAACATTTAGATTTCAAAGGAATTGTTATCTTGTTATCTCGTCGAAGATCGGAAGATGCATTATTGATGATCTTCCAGAAGTCTCAGCAAATCTCTACCCCTATCCTCAATATACAGCTGTGCCAGCCTTCACCCTTCCAAATGAATGTTCTCTTCTTGAAGATCCTTATCCCATTGCATCCAGGAACCAATCGGATCCTGTACCAAGCCTATGAGAAGTACAGAATCCAGTGGTCAACTGGTTAACGTTGGATGATCCAAACCATGGACTCATCTCTCATTGAGAAAGTCAGTTTCAAAACTAGATTGTCTGTGCTTTATACAGTTTACGATCCTCTACTTGTTGGTTTAGCAGAGCGAGAAGGGTTAATATGATTGTGGAGGAGTTGTAGGAGGGCAGCCAAGAATGTTTACTCCAAAGTTTCTCTTCCCGACATTGGCCACGTTATTCGCCACATCTGCCTCGTAGTAGTCGGGTCCATCAACAAGGAATTTATGACCTGTTGGAGAAACAGAAATGATGATTAGATTTGCTTTACTACAACTCTAGAATATTACTTATGACTATCACAACAATAACTGACTTTTATGTAGCATTTCACATTTTCTTCTTAGAGTGTTACATACACATGAAGTAATGCAAGTTATACAGAAAACAAATTATAAAGAATATACTATTAGACCTGTATGAAATAACTTAAGTAGCACAACTTGGAGAAATATTCATACATGTAGCAATATTATAGAAATAATAAGTACATTTACAGGAAGAAAGACAATTTTATGACCGAGGTATGTTAATCTTAATCAGTACTCCCATATAACTGCGGAGGCATTAACAGTACATCATTTGCTATCATCTTGTTTTAAATGCAGACCATAGACTATATTATCTAGCACTTTTATCCCCCCCCCCCCCCGAAAGGAACTTACCATAGAACATGAAAGCACTATTAACTCTGACTGTAGAGTGTAGATCCTTGAATTTCTTTGTTATCGATGACCTTTGAACCTGCCCTGTGAGCTCGTCATAGAGCCAGACCTTGCTACCTTTGAACAGGTACGTCTTGCCATCGTCCTTGTTATAGAGGGCAGCATAAACAGTGAGGGGGTAGCCATCTGGACTTGGACTGACACGAACTGGGCCTTCGTAAAGGGTAGTACCTTGGAATATCCACTTCTTGCGTGCTGTTGGTATGTGTGAGGATAGTAAGGAGAGGAATACAAGATTTCGTTAGCGGTGCATGTCCGACAGAGTTTTAGATTATTGTTGAGGGCACACATTCCCATCCCATCCTTAAAGCCCCACTGCACTAGTTTGGCCAGGAGGGATCAGACCTTCCTGCATGGACACTGACAGGTGTTTATCTCATCAAATCAGCTCTCAATTAACATAAGAAAAAGAGGATCATGGGGGATCAATGGTCACCAATTAGGCATTGTTTGCTATATAGAGGGCGCAAGTAGCTATAAGTAGTGTAATGGGGCTTTAAATTGGATGTGCAGGACATAATATCACATTCCAACTTTCCAAAAGAAGATGCAGAATTTTTTTTATTTTTTTTATTTATTTTTTTTTTTTTTTTTTTTTTTTTGGGGGGGGGGGGGATGGGTGGATAAAATTTTCTTGCTAGTGATAAGATGTACTCTGATGGTCTTGGAGTCTTGAGGAGTACAGTACATTAATTTGTAGGCTCTTAGGGTATGACAAATTGCTCCTCTACATCAGCTGGTATACCGTCCGTGTCACAAAGTATGGAAGACAGAAGGGCTTTAAGTCTGTGTCAAAGTATACAAGTTAATGCCCTTCTTGCTCTGAACAGATAATACATGAGTGAAATACTGGTATCTGGAACATCCAATGATGCATCAGAGGTGTTCTCTTTAAGAAATTGTGATGATCCTTGAGCGTTAGAGCTTCAACCTTCCACCTTAAACAACGTACCTTTGAGGAAAACGATGCGACCATCTTGCCTCTCGTAGACTGCCTTCATGCCTTGTTTGATGCCCCTGAAGAACTGTTCAGTCAGGATTCCAATGTCTGGATCAACGGGAACGAGAGGGAAGGTGCGATCGGGGTACCCCTCAGAGTTGTAGTTGGGACGGAACCTCCACATGTTCTCATCCTGTTCAAAGAGTGTACAGAAAATGGATTTTGAGAAAATATTAGAGCAAGAAATACATCCAATAATAATGTGGATCAGAGTTAACCACTATGGTTGTATACAATTTACTCTTTGCAATAATTTCTTTTGTTAAATCAGGAAGATTAGTAAGATACGAGGACAAACATGAGGCAGTCTTTTCCAGACTAGGTTGGGGCATAATGCCTGCCATACTCTGCAGGATATGCTTTTGTTTACAATTTTTGAATGTCGGACTGAAATTGCTGATTTAATACACCGATCAAATTTTTAAAAAGCAAATCGACCTAATCATTTTGTAAGGATTGCTTCAATGGATAGGCAAAAAGAAATAAATGAAACATAAGTTTCTGTATGTCTTCTTCTTATAATATTATATAAAGAATTATAGATCAATTTAAATTGATTACATTCGTAGTCCTTTAGTAAAAATGAACAGCACACAAAGAATTCAATTTGATTAGAAAATTGATGTGTTTGGTAGGAAACATGCATAACATTATGCCCCTTTATCTACACAAATCTCCACGTTTTATCAATACACTCCTTTATCAAATTTATAATTTCCCTCCGAGATTATCAGATACAGGAAGATGGGGTGGGGTTCGGTATTTACCTTGAAAACCATGAGATTACCCCTGATATCAGCCACAGCATCAAGGGTGGTGTTGCAATATGGTGGTATCAAGATAGGGGGTTGGGTGGTGGTGCCCGGGGTGGTGGGAGGGGGGTCAGTAGACACCTGGAAGGGGTTCTTTCCTGTAAACAAAAAAGGGGGAAATGAGTTAAGAAGTTTGGAATAATATGGCGGAACTTTGCAAATTAGCTTCTTCTCTTGTTTTTGCTTTCTTTGCCCTGCATGGTTTTAAGTTGAGGATTTCATTTGTTAATCTTGCGTTTTCGTCCTTTAAGTAATCTTAAACAGCAGCTCATTTTTATCTATGCTTATTGTGCGACCCTTTCTCTCTCTACCGGTATAACATTTTGTTTCACAGAAAGCCAAATGGGGATGGGGCGATTCTTAAATGCAAAATTGTGGTTCTGGGTTTGAACAGCAGTGCGTTTTTTAAACAGTGCCAATAGTTGTGATTTAGCAGCCGCAGTCCATGCAAAGCATTTGTGCCAAAAAAATTAGTTGAACGGCATTTGTGCAAAGAATGTGCAATTATATTAGTGACATTTTGTCCTTTGCTATACCTTCGGAGTAATGATTATTTGATATAGTGGGCCAATTGGTATATGTCTGAACTTGTGGAGTTGGTCCATCTTCGAGGAGTTCTTGCCCATCCTGATCTTGCATTGGTGCGGCGGAATTCGAGCTGCTTGCGCTAGTGGTCTTGTTTTTGGTGTTGCCCCCTGATCGGTTGGATTTGATAATCATAACAAATTTGTAATCAGACCATGAATGGACAGAAAATGCAAATTTGGATAGAGTTTGAAATATTTTTGAAAAAATGTTGAGAAAGAGGAAAGCGTTTTTTGGCCTAGAGGAATAATCAGGCCGTCTTTGGGGTATAAACAAAAATACAAACTTAAACTTTATTTAAAACAAAAACAAAAGGTATAGAGAGGAGAGAGAGAGAGAGAGAGAGAGAGAGAGAGAGAGAAAGGGGGAGAGCGAGAGAGAGAGAGAGAGAACGGGGAGAGCGAGAGAGAGAGAGAGAAAGGGGGAGAGCGAGAGAGAGAGAGAGAGAGAGAGAGAGAGAATGAGATAAACGGGAATAACGATGACAATAAGAAGAAGAAGAATAAAGAGGAGATGGCAGGACGAGGAAGAGAAAAAAACAGAAGAAGGGGGAGGAGAAGAAGAAGGAGAAGTAGGAGAAGAACATAAATGGCATGAGTATCATTTGACCTTACCGTAGACGACCTGGATGCCGAGTTTGTCATCGAGAGGAAGACGGAAGTTTGGGATGTAACCCTTGTCCCATGGCCACATGAGTGAGTTCCTCTGATCGGAGTGATCGAGTCCCAAAGCGTGACCGATCTCATGGGCGGTGGTGTAAAATAAGTTCACTCCTGTTTATACAAACAGAAAAAGAAATCAAAAATCGTTATTCACATTTTGCATGGCATGCATGCTCGAATGCAGAAAATACGAAGACGATTAATTAAACGCGCACAATAAAGTTGATAAACGGTGGCGAGAGGGGGGGGGGGGGTCCTCTACTCTAATACAGGGGCAGTGGTGAATTGCTCCCTCCCAAGACGGGGGCAGAATGTACCTGGACAGACCCGCATGTTGCAGATCCCCTGTTCTTTTAATTTTCCCGAGCCTAAACGCCACTCTGAAAAGTGAGAGAAATAATACTTTCACGGGGAAAAGAAGAGGTCTTCACGAGTTGATAAGTGAGTTTCCTTGAAGTTGTTTCTTTTTTGGTTTGAACGCTTCTCGCTAATGGGTGCATGCACTATAATTCTATTTGGATTAAAACCGTTTACCCACATTTTACTGATGGTGAACTAATTTACTCGTAACAATAATTAGAACATTTTTACATTAGCATTTACGACTCAAAATTTGCGAAAATATTTCATGAGTATTGATCAACTCACCAGAATAAATCTTATGTGTGAAATGTTCATCGTCATCGAAATGGACGTCGCCGTTTGTTTTTCCCCATCCGCTGTTCGGTGTGAATGCATGTGCCAGTGTACCCCCTTCACCATCAAAGGCGGGGTCGCCGTATACGGATGTATGAACACGGCTACCGAATTTCAGCTCAATGTCGACTTCGACTGTGTCATCATGGACTTCGATGAATCTGTTTAAAAAATAAAATAATGATAGGTTCGTTTTATTTGTAACAATAACATCTGTATCATCATAAGTGCATGGGGAGTGGGGGACGATGTTGCATTTAGTTCATATTTTATTTAACGATTATTCTCGTCTTGATCTTTCATGCAGTTTCTTTAACCTTCTCCTGACTAAGTTTTATTCATTTACAGTCATGCTTTAAAATGTACAATAAATCTTCACGGTGATAATTAGACCTGAAAGAAAAAAGTTTTGAGAAATTCTATGTATTGCAACACTGCATACAATCATTCAAAAATGATTGCCATTTCAAGAGAGAAACAGGAGCATTGTGCATGGGGAGATTAAAATGAGAAACTTCTTGATAATACATTGTAACGCCCCTATATGCGCTTCCAAAGAGCTTTGGAAATTATTACCCTAGCTTTAGCTCCGGTAGTCGTTATCAGCGCACAGTGCATTTCACGGAATAATCCTACCAGGTACCCATTTACTCACCTGGTACCCATTTACCAAAGGACTGGAGAGAAAGTTCATCAAACCACTCACGATAATCTATTATCTAAATGCAGTCAATCCTTGATTTGATTAAAATGAGGTTAAATGATAATAGCCGAAAATGAAACTGTATTTTGAAAGATCCGAGAGACTGACGTTTTTTCTCCCAAATTATAAACCACATAGGATGTGGGCATCCACCACCCGCCAACTGAAAAAGGTTTGAGTCGTGTCATAAACTCTTTCGTCTACACATGCAGTGGCGTAGCCCGGGTCCATCCATTAAGGGGGCACTGGCGTCCGATATGATGAATGAAAGACGAATTGATAAGGACACTGATTGGAGGGGATCCTCTCGTCATCTTTTGTCATTTTTATTGTTTAATCATTTTCCTCTCTCCTAACCGTTCCCCTACCTCGCTACACCCTACCCCCTCTCTCTCTCTCTCTCTCTCCTTCCCGTTTACTCAATGAGGGGGGGGGGGGGGGTGCTGCTCCAGTGTCCCCATATCTAGGCCACTGCGTCTAGATTTATACCCATAAACTTTACAAGAGTATAAAAAAGTGCGTTCATAAACCACTACCAGATTTTTTTTCTCCTTCCGTCCTATATTCTTCAACTGAATGAGTCATGATAGTGATTATCTAATTTTTAGATAATTTTATTACCCTAAATGATCATGTGACTTAGTTTAACTCTAAATTTACTATTGTTTCCTTTCTGAGAAAATAATCATAGTGCAAAGACCGATAAAATGGGCCGAGAAAATGTATAACCCGCAACGAAAACATAGAGAGGAAACAGGATGAAAATGTCGTGCTCCGACAGAAGTAGAATGAAGGACGGGGGTTAGATGTTAAAACACTTTAGGTCTGTATTATTTTCTCGGTACTACAATTAGATCTGAAATGTAAATAATGACACATTCAAATCCGAAAAATAAACATTGGAACTCTCTGTGAGGATAAATAGTGCCTGCCTACAAAAGAGGTGATGACAAAATAGGTTTTTTCGATTTAAAAGTGAAATTATGACAAAAGAAGAAACCTAATGGTGATGAACTTCAAATGGCTTTTTGTCGGGGCAATGACTTCTTTTTTTAAATCTCGGTCACGCGAAGATAACTGCTTGACAAAGGTGAATGATTGCGTTTCAAAAACATGATTGTGTAAAATCTTAGTCAGGGAAAAAGATAGTTGAATGTCTCATCCAGTATATTCCATCGGGATTCTCCTAAACGATCAAACTTTTCAATGAAAACTAAAGATATGCTTTGAATGGGCTGAGGCACGTGCCTTCGTGCCCCCTCCCACCTCCCCCTCAAATTGAGTGATGAAAAAAAAATGAAAAGAAACAAAAAATGAAAAGGGGAGAAGGAAAAGAAGAACGAGAGAAAGAAACGCCTTGACCACCTCGCAGCACCCCCCCCCCCCCCCCTCCTTACATCAAAGCCTTGTAAATGCGCACTTCATTTCCCGAGTAAAATAAGCCAGAAGCTTCCCCCATTCGTCTCAGTGACCCAACGATGGCTGGACTCACTTTACACCACTTTTCAGGTATTGAACCCGTTGCCTATACGGAAATTGAATTTTCCCCCTGTATTAAGCCTATGAAAATGAGAGATTTTGGTAGTCAGGGGGTTAAATTCAGTTCAAAATGGATCTACTGGTACATGCATTTCTTCCTTTTTAATGTCTTTTGTTTTTTGTATTTTGCAGACTCTTTTCTTTGTCCTCCAAAATACTACCTCGAAAGTGATAGCCTTTAGGGCATTGATTGGTCATAATGGACTAACCTTGATATGAATTCTTCCATGACGTACCGTAAATCCTTTTCTTTGTTATTACATGTTTGCATTTATTTTATGTCTATGGCTTGATAACAATAATAATATTAGTTGTATACATAAACACCACCGAACAGTTCACAGACTGTACAAGGAATGATAACGTTTTTGTATCCCAACAAATTTCTATTTCTAGAGGCCATTGTTGTATTTGAGAGCATATTGGCTTTACATATCGATCTGATGGCATTACTGATACCACAACCACTAAAAACCATCACCTCAGAAAAAAGTGCAGGAATAATTACCGACAATTATTGTGCCATATTATCATAGCAGCCAATGCTACGTTTTGAATTAGAGAGGGTCAAAATGATAATATGTTTCAATCAGTTCTGTCAAATACAATTTATCTTCTCCAGACCGATATGACCGAAATAAATTCAAGCCTCTAATTGACCCCTACCCCAACACAATTAACCTCCAAACATCTTTGTATTCATCCACTGCTATTGTGCTAAATAAAACACCTTGTCAAAGATAATTCGTCAATGCACGCGTCAAAAACCTGTTGCGGGATAATTTCATTATTTTGAAAAATGGGATGATTGAGCCATTAAAAGTATTATATTTTGGTCCCATTATCTTCATGGAGGTCGTTATTGAATGTATATGAAATTTATCATTTTGAATGGAGAATAGTGAAAGAGGGGTAGGAGCCTGAAGATTATCTCTTCTCGGGTCAGGCTTTTCAAGACGATAAAAAGATGTGGTCAGCAACTCCATAAAGTTTTCAATGGAAGTCAAGTAAAATAGCAGTTCAATTACTTAGTCCCTGTAATTTTGGACAAGCTGTATAGCGGTCACACCTCGTTTGTGATTTAAAAGGGGTTAGAATACTTCGTAAACTTTGACAAGCATTATAATCGAATGTAATAGGTTGAATATGGTGAATTGATGGCTGCAAGCCTAAATTCTAAAGCAGAAGAATTCTGAAAACGGAAAGAATATAATTATAAAGTATAGAATATCTTTAAAGTACTTGATAGTTTTCTTTAAAACTAAGGCTCTAAAATGAGTATGGTTATCTATTCTGGCACATTATGTCTCAGTCATTTATATGAATATTTTATTTATTTTCTCAGATGAATATACAGTATTGGTTTAGATGCTTCTCCAAAATATACGGAGAGGGGGCGAATCAGAAAAGATGAAATCTCACACTTCAGTCTGACTTGGCCCGATTTAGTTAAACATACCCGATTAAAAGTCCCATTCAATATTCATCCTTCAAGTTAATCCATAATCCGTTCCTGGTGGTCCTCTTTTTATCTTTTAATTCTTTTCATCTCCGAAAGTGTATCAGTCTCGATCTCGGGCAGTGTGTTCCCCAAAAGAAATGACTCAATTATTGATTTCATGTGTCGCCCTTACAACTGGCTTATCTAAATGTATCGACATGACTTCTGCATCAACGAACATTAACCACGGAGGTGCGAAACAGAGCGGGTCTTTCCTGGAGATCGGTAGCCATGCTTGAAACCGACACTGATAAAATGGTCACTGGACCGAAAAGAAAATACATAAGAAAATAGAGAATAGGTCCACAATACTGACAGCCAACAAGACCGACAAAATACAGAAATACATGATGTACATAACGGAAGATCGAACAATTCGGGCTATATATATAGGGCTATAGTGTAGCCTCTGAAAATCAGCTCAAGAACCCTCAATATATGTGTCATGTTGGTCTCGTAGGTTTAACCTTCAATCGATTTGACTAATACTATTTTATCTTTCATTGATAGTTGCAGCATTGATGACGGAGAACTTTTGTTGAATTCCGCTGTGGTCCACGCCAACGTATGAATGTGGTTGATCTATGATAATTATTATGTCCACCTGACTGTAATATTCCCGCTTTGTTTGAACATGATTCAATGGCATCTTCTTTCTATTGACTCTGCTCAATAGTGTATGACAAATCGTCAGAATACGTGAAGTAATTGTATGTTAAGATTTCAAGAGCACTTCCCACGTAGTAACTGACACACATAGCAATGCTGAACATCAACAATACACGTGTTAACTGTTAATCACTTCATATTCAAGGATAATTAAAATAGAATCTAGCACTGTTTGACATCACCAAATAATCTATCTGGTATTCTCTACAAACTCTCTGAATGATAAAAAGAAGCACTTTTCAAATTCTCATTTTTATTATAGTATTCAAACATTTTTTTATTCAGGGAAAAGATGTGCAAGCGACCCCACCCCTACCATTTTGGAAGCCCAACAAACAAAATATCGTTTTGCAGTGGCCGCGGCCGCCCCTCCCCGTTAAAAATGTCTGGATACGCATGTCAGATTTGGCTCTATATGGTTCTATAGTTCTCATACTGCATGGTCAATCCCATTCGAATCCAGGTCAATTTTCATGAACAGAAGACGGATTGTATTCTATTCTTCAATAATGATTAATAGTCCTGTTATAAAAGTTAGACAAATATGAAAAGGGAATATTTCCTTGTTTTCGTTGAAGAGAGATGTGACCCTGCCTTTGTAACCATGTCAAGAAGACTAAGATCATTAAAATCTAAACTGGACAGAATTATGAAAAGAAGTCTTTGTATATCCCTCAAAAAAGTTATGAATTTGGTCAAATCATGACAGGACCCATTGAAAACCAACACGACTATAAAGATCTCTATAC